CCACCCCCCACCACCCCACCCCTCGCTCTCTCTCTCTCTCCCCCCAAATGTTTATATACATAAACATATAAACACATGTGAGTGTGCGTGATGTGTAGTGGTGTGTGAATGAGTGAACGCATGCACGACAACTTGTCACTTAGCTCCCTTATTTGTAAAGTATATTTTAGTGTGCCATCTTGTAACGTTGTTGTATTTTTTGTAGTAAGTTTTTATGGAAATGGCTTGATATACGTTGTATAACTTGTGCCCAATTCAGTTTCATTATGGCAATACACTATGTTTAAATCAAAGATAAGTTTAACTCTATCTAATGATCCCTGTACCGCTGTTCTATGGCTTCCCTATAATGCAATAATCTCCCCTTAACTCCCGTTTGGATTTAACTGTAGAACAATTGGGCCAGGAAACGCCCGTGGACCAGGTAGCTCAATCGGTTAGAGCGCCAGTTCAGCAGTTCGAAGTTCAGGGTCTAGCCCCTCGGTGACTTTTTTACAGTCAGACCACTGTTATTAATAATATTTTGCTTATCTCATCTTGATAATTTCTCGTAAAAGTCCCGTACGGTATGGTTTTCTTTTCCAAAAACGATTTATCAAATGTATAGTAATTCCGGAAATAAACAGTTTCTAATAATTAAGTTATAGTTTTTTTTTGCAGTGGCACGAGGACCCTTAACACATATTGCAATCGAACCTCAATCTTACAGAACATTTTATTGCAGTCTAAAAATACATCACTTAAGGGTCCCCGTACCACTGCCAAAAACTTTAACTATGGCTTGGATTTTTTTCCATCTTGAAAATACATTTTTAAAGAAGTCAAACTTTGCAGGATATTTATGGGAACAAGGTTTTCGAAGAAAATAAAAATGTTTTGAGTTATGAATAAAAATGAATATAAAAGGACTAACAAGGATTCGAACCTTCGACATCAAATTATTATCCTTTTGCTCTAACCAACTATTTGAAATATTGATGTATACGACATACGATGTACTGATGGATCCCTGTTTTTGATGTTATCTGTTAGGCAGACTCCACGAGCAGTATACTCCACTACGTATACATGGCGGTCCTATGTGTACAATTTATCCTCCATTGTTTCGCCGACACACGTTCAGGACAGCTGTACCAAGAAGTTGGAGAGGATGGCGTGAGTAATTTAATACGTCACTTCCGGTTACGTCATATTGTGTCTAGTTAGTCCCCGGTTGCAATATAGTAGTATGCCATTATCCTTGTCTTATTAACTTATTTTTGGATAGACATTGGTGACTTTAACTGATTAAAGTTGGAAACTAGTTTCAAAATTATTTAAATGATGTAAAATTGTTTTTTAATTATTTTGTTTCACAAGAAATCGAAGTTTTGATACTAAACATGATATTATATCAAGGACATCTTGGAAATAAACAAAGCCTATACAGTCCTTTATACATATCTAAGAGGTCCGACCCAAGGCGGTGCATAAGAGCAATATTTTCCACATTAGAAGATAAATTGTCAACACCAAAATGCAAATATTAGATGACAGACAGTTTCATGCATCTTCATTGGTTCGATCACGATGACGTGGAAGCCGGCGATTTTTGATAATGATTCGGTGTTACTATTTTTAGACAGGTAAACATTCACCTAATGACGTCATTTCAATTATAACGTCACAATGATCAATGCCAAATGTATAACTTACCACTGAATCATTTTCATACGTTCTCTCTTGTTAAATGATTATACAAAACTTTAGCATGTGATTTTACAATTAAATACTTTTATTTCGATAACTATTTGGTTTATGGAGCTGAGAAAGGGATACTGACATCGACTTTGTCTCTGTCAATATGACTTTCTGAGGTTTATATAACCACACATTACCCCCCCCCCCCCTTAAAAAAACCCAAAAAAAAAAAAAAAAAAAAAAAAAAAAAAAAAAGCGCAGCCTTAACTATTCAAAACACAATAAAAAAAATTGGATTTTGACTTTGAGATTTCTAATATTACCTGTTAGATAAAAATAAATGAACTGCAGATCGATGTTTTTAAAAGTGTATTTTTTATTGATCAGTTAAATGTAATGTCTTTTTTTCAGCCGCCCTGTCCGGATGAACACTCCTCTGCATTGTCCCTATTTACCTACTTTTGGTTGACTCCGTATGTATTTAAATATTTTTTTCTTTACTTTCTTTCAACTGTGTTGAAATTAGCAGCAAATATAGCAGGTAAGTATATCGGACTGTTGTAGAAAAGTATACGTACATGTACGACAACCAGTAAGTGTATATGTGTGAGTAAGTGTACATGTACGACAACCAGTAAGTGTATATGTGTGAGTAAGTGTACATGTACGACAGCCAGTAAGTGTATATGTGTGAGTAAGTGTACATGTACGACAGCCAGTAAGTGTATATGTGTGAGTAAGTGTACATGTACGACAGCCAGTAAGTGTATATGTGTGAGTAAGTGTACATGTACGACAGCCAGTAAGTGTATATGTGTGAGTAAGTGTACATGTACGACAGCCAGTAAGTGTATATGTGTGAGTAAGTGTACATGTACGACAGCCAGTAAGTGTATATGTGTGAGTAAGTGTACATGTACGACAGCCAGTAAGTGTATATGTGTGAGTAAGTGTACATGTACGACAGCCAGTAAGTGTATATGTGTGAGTAAGTGTACATGTACGACAGCCAGTAAGTGTATATGTGTGAGTAAGTGTACATGTACGACAGCCAGTAAGTGTATATGTGTGAGTAAGTGTACATGTACGACAGCCAGTAAGTGTATATGTGTGAGTAAGTGTACATGTACGACAGCCAGTAAGTGTATATGTGTGAGTAAGTGTACATGTACGACAGCCAGTAAGTGTATATGTGTGAGTAAGTGTACATGTACGACAGCCAGTAAGTGTATATGTGTGAGTAAGTGTACATGTACGACAGCCAGTAAGTGTATATGTGTGAGTAAGTGTACATGTACGACAGCCAGTAAGTGTATATGTGTGAGTAAGTGTACATGTACGACAGCCAGTAAGTGTATATGTGTGAGTAAGTGTACATGTACGACAGCCAGTAAGTGTATATGTGTGAGTAAGTGTACATGTACGACAGCCAGTAAGTGTATATGTGTGAGTAAGTGTACATGTACGACAGCCAGTAAGTGTATATGTGTGAGTAAGTGTACATGTACGACAGCCAGTAAGTGTATATGTGTGAGTAAGTGTACATGTACGACAGCCAGTAAGTGTATATGTGTGAGTAAGTGTACATGTACGACAGCCAGTAAGTGTATATGTGTGAGTAAGTGTACATGTACGACAGCCAGTAAGTGTATATGTGTGAGTAAGTGTACATGTACGACAGCCAGTAAGTGTATATGTGTGAGTAAGTGTACATGTACGACAGCCAGTAAGTGTATATGTGTGAGTAAGTGTACATGTACGACAGCCAGTAAGTGTATATGTGTGAGTAAGTGTACATGTACGACAGCCAGTAAGTGTATATGTGTGAGTAAGTGTACATGTACGACAGCCAGTAAGTGTATATGTGTGAGTAAGTGTACATGTACGACAGCCAGTAAGTGTATATGTGTGAGTAAGTGTACATGTACGACAGCCAGTAAGTGTATATGTGTGAGTAAGTGTACATGTACGACAGCCAGTAAGTGTATATGTGTGAGTAAGTGTACATGTACGACAGCCAGTAAGTGTATATGTGTGAGTAAGTGTACATGTACGACAGCCAGTAAGTGTATATGTGTGAGTAAGTGTACATGTACGACAGCCAGTAAGTGTATATGTGTGAGTAAGTGTACATGTACGACAGCCAGTAAGTGTATATGTGTGAGTAAGTGTACATGTACGACAGCCAGTAAGTGTATATGTGTGAGTAAGTGTACATGTACGACAGCCAGTAAGTGTATATGTGTGAGTAAGTGTACATGTACGACAGCCAGTAAGTGTATATGTGTGAGTAAGTGTACATGTACGACAGCCAGTAAGTGTATATGTGTGAGTAAGTGTACATGTACGACAGCCAGTAAGTGTATATGTGTGAGTAAGTGTACATGTACGACAGCCAGTAAGTGTATATGTGTGAGTAAGTGTACATGTACGACAGCCAGTAAGTGTATATGTGTGAGTAAGTGTACATGTACGACAGCCAGTAAGTGTATATGTGTGAGTAAGTGTACATGTACGACAGCCAGTAAGTGTATATGTGTGAGTAAGTGTACATGTACGACAGCCAGTAAGTGTATATGTGTGAGTAAGTGTACATGTACGACAGCCAGTAAGTGTATATGTGTGAGTAAGTGTACATGTACGACAGCCAGTAAGTGTATATGTGTGAGTAAGTGTACATGTACGACAGCCAGTAAGTGTATATGTGTGAGTAAGTGTACATGTACGACAGCCAGTAAGTGTATATGTGTGAGTAAGTGTACATGTACGACAGCCAGTAAGTGTATATGTGTGAGTAAGTGTACATGTACGACAGCCAGTAAGTGTATATGTGTGAGTAAGTGTACATGTACGACAGCCAGTAAGTGTATATGTGTGAGTAAGTGTACATGTACGACAGCCAGTAAGTGTATATGTGTGAGTAAGTGTACATGTACGACAGCCAGTAAGTGTATATGTGTGAGTAAGTGTATATGTGTGAGTAAGTGTATATGTGTGAGTAAGTGTATTTGTGTGACGTTTCGAGCTTGCAATAGGGTTTTGGATTCGGATACGATATATGATTATGTATATTTAGTTGTTGTATATGTACAAAAAGACGATTCAAACCGACACACCAATTCGGCTTGGCTTTGTTTAATTCCTGGTCAGAGATGTGCGCAAGTTTATGAGCCCCGCTCATCTCGATTCAGAACTGGTCTGCTGCGTCACACGTAAACGCTTACTGGTTGTGCAACACGAACCTTTCTAATAATCCACACTTACCAACCTGAAGAAAACGTAAACACATATAGTGCTAGCGATTATTTGATTTTACTTTATCCGATTTTGACATTTTTATCGTGATTGAAGACGGTTGATTAAGACTGCCAATGTTAAATAGTTTTGTCCGGGATTATGAAGATAGTATCGTTTTTCGTCTTTTTTATTCAATATTTTCTTTAATTTTACGGTGTTCTTATTTCACAATATCATGATAAAAACTATTTTCCCATATCACTTTGGCTACTTTATTTATCCATCTTGTATGCTAGATTTCCCCTTGTTTTCGCTTTTTCTAGATTACTTATTCATGTCACAGTAGTTGCCCGTGTTGTCGTGATTTTGTTTTATCTGTAACAGCAGAAAACACCTGTAAGAGCTGCTATCGCTGTTTGTTATGTATTGAACATGCATTACCCCATATTTATTTCCCCCTTTTTAACAGAATCGTGATCAAAGCTTTTAAGTCAAAGATGGGTATGGGGGATCTCTGGGAACAGACACCACGTCTTAAGTGTGAGAATGCTGTGTATGAACTAGGAAAGGCCTGGGACACACAGCAACTCAAGGCAAACATTGCAAACAGGTAAGAGTCAGTACCGGAATGAAATAGGCAGCTTTTATTTGGCGCTGTCATTTACGGTTTTTATCCTTATATTTACATTCAGTGCGATGTTGATATTATTTTGGATACTATCTAACATATCGGTCTTGTGCAAGTCTAACATCACGGACAGTACCGAAGCTTATGACATCATCACTCACTGTGAGACGGTGTTCTGGTAAGATGAATAACTTGTAAGATGTAAATTAGTTTTCTTCAATTCGATTCAAAACTTCTGACCCCCCCCCCCCCCCCCCCCCCCAAAAAAAAATAAATAAAAATAAATTGATAACAATATATTAATAGAACTACTCTCCGAGATCTGCGGAATGGAATAACAGAGTGATCTGGATGATATCATGCTGATGTATTCATGCGCCAGTTGGAAATTCATTGAAAAATAACCTTAAAAAAAGTTATGTAGGTATTTTGAGTCCAAGTTCAGTAGAAATGTAAATATTATAATTCAAACGAGGTGACAAAACGAGCGAGGGAAATTACATAAAGTCTTTCCTGTACTTTGAACTGATGCTAATTAAACAGAAATAGTAATGGAACTACCCTCGTCGTGTCATTTGAATTAGAAAATAATAATATTAAATAATAGTCAAGTTATTTCCTATGTATAAAACACTTTGTCATTATTTTATTGCATATCGACACAGGGAAACAATACACACTTAAATCATCATTTTAACTTGAAATTAACTAGTTCACCGCTAAAATGTGAAGTTCATAAAATTATGGGGGTTTACGCACCTCATCATTTGTTCCAACAGCAGATAGACAAATTTTAATTTCCAACTTTTCGGCCGCTTGAAAGAAAGTCCAAGAAAGAAGAAACAGATGTATGGTGCAGTGTACTTCTTTTTCGGCATACTGAATCTATTACGAAATGTTAAAAGTACAATTCTCTGTGAGTGTGTTTAACGTTCATCCTCAACATGTATTCTTTCAAAACAGAAAAGCCATTAGTACAGTTAGACGAGACACTCGACACAAGATCGTGGCGAATGGATTTGCCAGATCGGGTGAGGACACGCCCCTCCTGACGTCAAACCACATCACTTCTGAAGACACTGATCCTTCCGCCACCGCGCCAAAGATAAAGAAGGCGTCGCTGTACTGGTCTTTGTTTAAGACGTATGGACCAATATGGATTGTCACTGTTTTCATCAAACTTATCAGTGATATCACTGCTATGCTTCAACCTGTTATACTTGGGTAAGTAAACAACGTTATCAACATAATATCGAAACGGAGTAGAAGCAATTTATATATTTTTTAAATGTTCTTCACAACAGCAAGGGTCACGTGAAAAAGGTGCATATGGAGACACCGCCGGATAGAGAGAGCATATAGGAAAGAGACAAGACAGAAGAAGTAGAAAAAGAAACAGATCCCCATAAGACACAGAAGAAACCACACGATACTGCAGGGGATTCCACACTAATTGCCTCTTACGTCACCCACATTAGTTGCCTCTTACGATCACACAGTGAAACCTATACTCTCGTTATATCTATAATCCATATAAAGTATTAATGTATGTGCTTAAATATATATATAAATATTCCACATGTATTTGTTATAAAACATTAAGTATGGACATTTTTGCGCAGATGACTCGACGGGGAAAAAATGCGAATTTAAATACCAAATTTCCACTCTCACAGTACTAGTATGTATTAATAAGTAATACATGCTTCGACCTGTTTCAGGATGATAGTATCCTTTATCGAAGCGAAGGCGGAGAATCGAGATCCTATATGGGTAGGATATGGGCTGTCCTTATTGTTCGCTCTTGTCGGGGAGGTAGAAACACTAGTCTACAACGCCTCACTCCATGTCAACATGGCAATCGGCATCCGGGTCAAGTCGGCGCTTATTGGTGCTATCTACCAGAAGGTAGGTGATAAGCTTTACTAAAACTTATAATGCCACACGTCTTTTTGAAAGTGTTGACCGATTTGTATGATTTAAGTATATTTTACAGCTTGGTCAATCTAAAGAACATTCTGGATGAACAAGAACTGTGAAAACAATACTTATGTAAGCCGTTGATGTTAATATAATGTAGCGACGTATATTATAAAAATAGACCATGATACATTTTTTTTTTTCGTTTAAAGATATTCATCTTAGTGCATTCCAATTTTTAGTTATTTTTCAAATTTTAACAGATTAGCACATTGATGAATCGGCGTAGCCACAATAGATGAAAAAGAAAACAGTATGGAAACTTCATCTAGCGAATAATACGGAATATTCATGAACGGCGTTCATAAATTAACACAATCTTTAAATCTTACAAAACCGCTGAAATAAGAGTATCGCTAAAATGCTGCATTTACCTTTACAGTATTGACGTTATGAATTGTCATGTTATATATAATTCGGATCTAATGTATTTACAACACTTGTAATATCTTGAAGACAATAGCCATGGAATATGGATGGCTGGAGACTTGATTATGGTAATAATTTGACCTTGAACTATTATAATGAATTAAATTGTCCCTGTGATATTTTTTATAAAGTAAATAAAAGTTGTATATCCAGATTGTTCTTTAATTTATTTATATAAGAAAGAAAACTATAATAAATTTGAATCTCTTCCTTCCTACAAATATCCAAGAATACGAAAATACGAATTATATAGGCATATATTTTGTGACCTTGAGAAAGGTCATTCCCATGAGTTGATTTTGGTAGACTTTTTTCCCCTGAAAGCTGACATGCTACCAAATAACATAAAGTTTGAATTAATTCTGTTGCAATTTTCTTGAGGTTGGCCCTTTATTTCGACCAAAATGACCAGACTATAAAGGAAGTTTTGTTTCACTTTTGTATTTTGCTTATATTGTAGGTAATGCACCATTAGATTCCATTTGTTACGCTCACTGTCGTTCTCTGCACCCCCGTGATATGTCATGACAAAGTTTAAGGCATGCAGTTGGTTATTTGACTGGATTTAAGTGAACAATCACTAGCCTGCTCCATGTACAGGTCCTTTAAAAATGAATCTAGTCTAATTGATTTATACCCTGCCATAATGAACTCATTTACACCTGAAATTTCATTATGAACTATTCCAACATTTGAATTGGAAGAGTTCAAATATGTTTTCAGGGGTGAATAAGGTAAAGGGTGCAGTGAACGTATTAGAGTGTAATCTTACAATTTTTAGGATACAGATAATGCGACTGAACTAATATTGAGCTGGCTTCAATTTCATATAAGATAAGGACCTCGTCTCGAAGTTTTCTTTAGGTCTCGAGCGAGTCTTACTAACATAAAAATCAAAATCTGAGACCAGCTGTCATTTATAACAGGAAAATGGCATAATATTAATGTAAAAGTTCTTCCTGTTGACAAACAGTCTTTAAGAATGAGTAACTCAGTGAAGAAGGACTTCACAGTCGGAGAGATTGTAAACCTAATGTCGGTTGACTGTCAGAGGATCCAGGACGCCTTCGCCTTCCATCACTGGATATTCTCCTTCTTCTCCATCACTGCTCTAGGTTTGTAGGAAATATAATTGGTTTTGTTTTGTTTTGTTTAACGTCCCATCAACAGCTATGGTCATTTAAGGACGGCCTCCCCTGTGTGCAAAATACATGCGTGTAGTGTATGCGTGTGTGTTTTGGGAGGCTGCGATATGTTCGTGTTTGTCTCCTTGTAATAGCGTCCATGGAACTGATGCCGACTTTATAGTGCTACCTCACTGAAACATACTGCTGAAAAAACCTAGTAGGACACCACACCCGGTCACATTATACTGACAACGGGCGAACCAGTCGTCCCACTCTTAAATTGCTGGTCTTGATTAGTAGCGCTGCCTTATGAGTACCAACTAAGAGAAAGGGTACTGTCCAAACAAATCAAAGAGCATGTATTCTATGACCATTGTCACTTTTACGAAAAAAAATGTTCAATGCCTTTTCAATAGAGTTGCTCCATGAACATTTCAAGTTACGATGCGTATTACCGAATGATAGTTGTTCGAAATTTTAATTGCTGAAAAAAAAAAATCAGAAAAACTGCAATTGATAGACTTATGCATTTCTCGGATAACCATGTCCTTTCCCCTTTTATTTTATTAATTGATATTTAAGGCATAGCTTTGAAATAGATTGAATATACTGAACTTGAAATCAAGGACGCTACAGACTTTTCTACCTAAGCTGATTTCCCGTCCTTGATCTTTACTTACAACATGACGAACCTGAAAGGCTTACTATTAAGCTGTACGATAAACAGAACGATTTTGACTTTCCTCTTTACTGATAGTGATTTCCTTTGTTTACGTAAGTGCGTTGTGTACTGTGTTTTATAGACAGGTCCCTGAACTGTTTGCTATATGCAGGTCTGTGGTGTGGTTTTGATTTCGGTTTTATTTTGTTTAACGTCCTATTAATACATCAGGTCAGTTTAGGACCTACCTCCATGTGTCTCATGCATGCGTGCATGTGTGTACGCATGTTAGAGGCAGGAATTATGTCTCCTTGTGATAGCGCGTATCTGATGCCGACTTTATAGTGCTATCTCACTGAAATGAATCGTCGGTTTATGTTGCATATACATGTCGCTGTCTGCTACACGCAGGTCTGTACATCGTCCTTTTATGTTATATACAGGTCTGTACATCGTCCTTTTATGTTATATACAGGTCTGTACATCGTCCTTTTATGTTTTATACAGGTCTGTACATCGTCCTTTTATGTTATATACAGGTCTGTACATCGTCCTTTTATGTTATATACAGGTCTGTACATCGTCCTTGTATGTTGTATACAGGTCTGTACATCGTCCTGTTATGTTATATACAGGTCTGTACATCGTCCTGTTATGTTATATACAGGTCTGTACGTCGTCCTGTTATGTTATATACAGGTATGAACATCGTCCTGTTATGTTATATACAGGTCTGTACATCGTCCTTGTATGTTATATACAGGTCTGTACATCGTCCTGTTATGTTATATACAGGTATGAACATCGTCCTGTTGTGTTATATACAGGTCTGTACATCGTCCTTGTATGTTATATACAGGTTTGTATTTGGTTTGGGACTCCATGGGAAACGGCATGTATGGTTGTATTGTCATTGTCATCATCTTCTCCATACTAAATATCTACTTCGGCCGACTTCAAGAAAGATACCAACAAGGTCTTCTCAAACTGAAGGGAAACAGGATGAAACTTCTCAATGAGGTCCTCGGTGGAATCAAGGTAGGAGAGGTGTCGGAATATATAATGACGTTATCCAGTAACATCATATTCTAAATGAACGTAAAGGCGTCTTTTGAAACCCAACCGTGACACAAGGAACTGTTTAGATGATATCAGATGCTGAAATTGCATCAATATGTTTAAATTATTCAATCTTTCATGTTGCTTACTTAAGCAATGATCTGCTTTCGTTTAGCATTCATAGTTAATATAAAAGCCACATAAAAAATTATAAATTCACAGAGGCCATCCACATTTCACATTTCACATGGCATGTTCATTCGTAATTTATATTGATGAATGCGATATACAATTAGCTCAATCTTTATGCATGTATTTTCTATTTTTGGAAATGTTTAATCTCATATTAGTTAAAAGAGCTGCCGTATTTAGTTCATATAACTATATATATGCTGTATGCTTGTTTAATAAATTAAACAGACATTTTTAGGGAGAGTCGTCGATATAAAAAGTTACAGTTATAACGTCGTGATAATGGTGACGTCACGATTGGGTTATTACGTCATAGCTGATATGAATGACATCTTGATTTTCACAGGGTTATATACGTAAATAATAATAATTTGAGGTAAATATACTGCATTAAACAAACATCATTCACTGTATAAGGAATTGTCTTAATGGTTGGCTGGTTATGAAAGATTTTCTTTCGTAACGTTATAACAAAAACATAGACCAATTAAATCGAACGTATTACCCCATCGTGTTAAGATGTTGCATGCTACTATAATAGGATGAACACGTGTAACTTCAGGTCCTTAAGATGTACGCGTGGGAAAAAACGTTTACAGAAAAGATCAAGGCGATAAGAAGTCAGGAGATGGGTTTTCTAAGGAAAATTGCCGTCGTTACTGCAGTGTCTGTCCTGCTGGCTGTCCACAGTCCATTCTTTGTACGTATATGAAAATCACCAAGTAAATAATACACATACATCCGCATGCTAATACATTGATTTACTGTCAACCCCAGAAATTTCAGGTTTAACTATTATTATTTTATTGCTATTATGTTAGCAAAGACGGAAAAAGTAGTAATGGTGTGGTTTGCTATGACGTCATTGGATAACAAATGACATAAGTTTACTTTACTTAATGATTTATATTAGAATATCATGTTTATTCAATCACAATAACCCGTTAAGTGGTTCGAAACGAATCGTTATCATTGATCTAATTAATATTATTTTCTTTATTTTTTATACACTTTGAAAGATTAATGTACACAATTATTTTTTTTTTTTTTTTTGTATTTGTAAGAATTGACAAACAATTAACATGTCTTTGTTTTACCCATTTGTTTTCATTTATTCCGCAGATGAACTTTGCTATCTTGCTGATTTACATGTTAGCCGATCTCTCCCAGTATCTGGACGCCACCACCGCATTTACAATTATATCTGTCGTCAACGTTATTCGATATCCAATAGCGTTATCTCCCTTTGTTATCACTTCCTGTATACAGGTAAAGTTATCACAAATAAGCAAAATTGTGCTTGAACATTGGATTTCAGCTTTCATAAATAAAAATACAAAATTGAAAACATTAATCGCATTCCTGTAATAACATCATCTCTTTAAATATATTATTATTAACATGTTACATGTATAATGTAATATTAAAATAACGAACATTACTTTAATGTTATCTGCATATTTCATATTTCTGATTAATTTTCCTTTAAATTGAATCATTTCAAACACTTTCACTTCAGACATATGTTTCCGTCGATCGCATCCAGAGATTTCTGTGGGAAGATGATTTAGAATCCGAAAATGTGAAGCGTGTCACCCACGGTGGTCTGTATATCATTTACCATTTTGAAATTAAATGAAACAATATTTTGTTAACATTTACCGTTTCGCTTGTTGATAACCTTGTGATTTGAAGCTTGAACGTTATGAATTATAATTGCAACAAGCTTAAGGATCCCTGTTCCACTTTATGCAAATTACAACATTAAAGAGTTCCACTGGAGTTTTTAATACATAGGGTAACCTCCCCTTCATTTTGTTTTGAATATAACACTAGTGGGACAGAGCCAGGAGACTTCCGTTGATTATATATATATATCAGTTGGTGAGAACGACCTAGACCTAGTGATAGAAGTAGGTTCAAACTCCCGACTGACCATGATCTATTTTGTAGATGAAAATATTCTGTTTATCTCATATTTTTCTTTATTTTCATAAATATTCTGGTTTACTTTTCACAAGTAAAATGTATATATTGAAGCCTTTCCAGTCCGGTTAAAAGCTTTCAACTGAACGGAGATCCTTAACAGTCTAAAATTAAGAATTTGAAAATATAACAATTTTATGAATATGTTTGTAAAGGGAAACAGAGAATTGTAACACGACAAAAAGTCTGTGGGAAAAAAATAATTAAAAAACAACCCGAAAGAAAACAATTTTGCAATATCAAGCTATGCGTAAGATGTAGCCTTGTTGTTGTTTAAAATGTTTTATCAAATAAATGATATACCTTTATGAAATGCTACTCTCCGAGGAAGATTTACTATTATAAATAAGGATAGTCTTTGACGCCATTCTGTAATTGAATATATGATACAATATTTCATTCAATAAATGTTTATAAAGCAAAAAAATAATGATGTTTTTTCAAGGAAGTTTTTTTTATCAACTTTTACCTTGTTAGAAAGTAGCATTTGACCCCATTCTGTTATTGAACGCAAGAACCAATTGTTTATTTTACTTACATTTAATTGTGTATAAGGGTTCATGTCTCTTTTAAGGAATTGGTATTATAAAATGCTACCGTGTTAAAAAACATTAACTTTGATTGTCTTTGACGCAATTCTGTAATTGAATGTAAAAAAAACCCCAATATTTTGTTTAATAAAAGTTTGATCATGCAAAATATGTCTCTTACAAGGAAATGGTATCATAAAATGCTACCTCCATAGAATGATTTACTATAGTAGTATTTGATGCCATTCAGTAATTGAATGTAAGAAACAATCCTTTATTGAAGAAAAAAAAAATGTAATAAAAGAGTTTTCCTGAAACAATCCTTTATTGAAGAAAATAAAATTGTAATAAAAGAGTTTTCCTTTCATGATATGCGTATAAAAATGCTAATGTGTTAGGAGGATTTACCACGGACTTGTTAACACATAACTTATATAAATAATTTCTTTCATATTTTAAGATCACGCGGTCAGCATTCGTCACGGTCGGTTTACTTGGGATATCCAGGATCAGACGACAACACTGACGAAGTGAGCAACCACTTGTTTTAGCTTTGATCATTTTGCAATTTTTTAGCGTTATTCCAATAGTGCTGAAAACTATAAAATAATTTTGTGACACATACTTTGCCTTCTTCACCTATATTTCCAAGTGTTTAATATGTAGTTCTGTAGATGTCGTCGATAAAGCAGAGGACTCTTACCCTTCTGGTACATCTGGTCTTAATCCCTTTGTGCTTTTTTTCCTTTTCAATGGTTTCCGTAAAAATCTTTGATTTGTTGATAAATTGCAATAGTTTTATCGATTTGTGTTCGAATTATGGTTTTGTTCACACTTCGGTATTCTATATTTAATGCAATATTGTGACTTTTTTGTTTCAATAAAGTTTTCCGTCAGTTTGTCAGTTGATTATTCCATATCCTACGAATTCTTTCCCCATATTGTTGTTTCCTTATTTTAGTTAGAGCCGTATAGAATACTGTTATAAAAGCTGCATTTGTTCCTTTCATCCTAGCATCGACTTTGATGTACCAGAGGGTAGTTTGGTGGCGGTGGTGGGAATTGTCGGTTCTGGCAAATCTTCGCTCATCTCAGCGGTATTAGGGGAACTGGAAAAATTGGAAGGGGAGGTCACTCTAAAGGTAAATGAAATATTTTAGATTGTAACATTTACATTTACAACTTCAGAATCCCTGTTGTATAAAACGCTAGTTCTGTACATATCATTTTGATTTGCAAAAGGTCAAGGGAATGCTTATGATTTGTGTTTATATCATTGTAATATAATAAAGTCACGTATCTAGAAATGGAAAGGCATTTTAGGTACTTTTTTTTTCTTGCTTACAATGAATTTCAAATGTTTATGTTTCTTTTTCATGTTTATTCACTATGAGGATGGTCCCAGGTATACGATACATGTGCGGTTTAAAATGTTGTTTTGTTTATAAACCGTGTTCGAATGGCATCGACTTTCTTAGAAAATATAGAAAATGATGTTGGTTAAGCGATATCATAAACTAAGAATATAATAAATTCCTGTGTGTTACTTTTATTATCATACTGAACTGACATCATTATCGAATGAATAGTAGCTAGCAACTTCATCAGACGGTTTAATTCATCTGATTGTTTCCAGGTGAAGCACTACCCCTTGTAACTGGATTTTATTCTGGTATAATTTATATCAACTACTAGCGTGAAATAGGTTATTTGATGTAGCCGAAAGATGCAACGTTATCAAGAGGTTTCAAGGCAATTTCTTATTCGGTTGTATTCTCCGATAGGGGTCGCTTGCGTACGTACCCCAGGAGGCGTGGATACAAAACATGACACTTAGAGACAACATATTGTTTGGAAAGGCACACAGAGAGAAGAAGTATCGGAAAGTCTTGGAAGCTTGCCAACTTATTCCTGACTTAGGTATACTGTCCGCAGGGGACCAGACTGAGATCGGACAAAAGGTAACAACCAAACAGGTTTAATAGTAGTTACAAATGTTGCATTGGAAAATATTTCGTCATTAAATTGTTTAGAAAGAATTATTGTCTATTGTTGAATTGGCTAAGAAACAATTTCTTTCAAAATTAAAACTTTGTTTAAGATACGAAACGAATCATAATAAGTTTGAGCTAAATTGGAGTCACAAAGGGGAACCATTGTCATCACCTTGACGCATGCCATACACTTGTGTACTAAGTTTCAGAAAAATTAAAGACATAAAGAGGGACCGATTGCATCACCTTGGCAAACACCCATACACGTGTAAATAAGTCAGAGGACACGGATGTCCTGTTTGATAACCGACCGAAAATAATAAATGGATTAAGCACATCTACACATGCTTGGTGTGAAAGTTGCATAAGTATCCAACGAGTTGTCTCCGAGGAAACGTCCGGAACCATAGGAGACAAAATAAGAATAAGAAAAAAAGAATAGTATGAATTAAAACGTAGTTAAGGAGTCACAGTCGATAATTCACAATGTATCAATATTTTTAAATTATGTACTGTTAAAATACAAAACATAGAACTTTTTACGAGAGCGAATGGTTTAATTCCATTTCCAAAGTATGATACAAAATTCATGTTTCCGACTAAAAAAGAATTCAATGAAAGCAGATTAAGGACGTCAAATTAAAGACAATACCACTAAGGTACTTGTATCATTCACCATGCATACAATTATTTTTGTAGAATTATCTCCATTTTCGCTGTTTTTCTAGAACCCCTTTATTACAATGTGGTGCTTTGATGGTTTCTGGTACATGTAAGTCTAGCAACATTCCTACTTGATTATTGTTGAAACCAATTATTTGACGTTCTATTTTGACCATTATAAAGGGTATCAACCTGAGTGGTGGTCAGAAGCAGAGGGTCAGTCTGGCTAGAGCGGTATACAACAATGCTGACGTCTACTTACTGGACGATCCTCTCAGTGCAGTGGACAGTCACGTGGGCAAGGCGTTGTTCCAGCAAGTCATCGGCAACGAAGGACTACTCAAAAACAAGGTAAGACGCGATTGGTATTCAAACACAAGCATAGCTGCTAAAATATAAATGTCTTGCCATAAAGATCTTGATAGTGGACCAGCTTCTCGAACAATAATGACAATACATTTCGCAGTCTAGTTTCAAAGTTGAAGTATATTTAGACGTGTGAAATAACAGGTAAATGCGACTGTAGATAAAGATATTGAAAAAAATGAGACTTTAACAACATTTGATATTGTTGTCATCAATCTCTATTGTGACGTCAGCAATTTCATTGTAGTTAAGACTGAACTTGCAGTTCAAAAACTGATCGAAATAACTAAATAAAGCGTAACTACTCAAAAACTACTGTCAACATGTAAACATAACTAATGAATATTTTAGCAAATATTGTTATTGTCCTACAACACACATTTCTGACAAACTTACATAAAGCCCTACAGGCATTTGGTAAAACATTCATTCCTTAATTATAAAGTGAATAATAACCTGATGTTTCTATGATGTGATGATGATTTAACCGATGAGGGTGTAGGGATAATTATATAATTTTACATTGATGTTTGTAGACCCGTATCCTAGTGACCCATGGCGTCCACTGGCTTCCTAACGTGGACAGGATCATCGTCATGGACGGTGGTCAGATATCTGAGATAGGCACTTACGAGGAACTCCTACAACATAATGGACCGTTCGCTCACTTCCTACAAACTTTCCTCTTACACGACGACGACAAAGACGACGAAAAAGATGATGAAGGTAATTATCACATGGAAAGTTTAATTCTAATGTAATAATGTATTAATAATTATTTTTGGCTGTAAATTTAAGTCTAGCTGCCTAATTTGATCATTTTGTTTCTAATTAAAACAAGCATTAAGGTATTCAGTTTGATGTTCACATTTCTATTTGCAATTATGTGTGGGCTGAGTACGACCATGCAGCATACTTATATTTGATCTTTGTTTGACACGTTTGATGTTCCGAAACTAAACTAAACTGATTTGTTTGCTTGTTTGGGGTTTCACGTCCTCGCAACAGCCAGGGTTATATGAGGACGGGCGCCCAGGGAGACATCATCTGAACAAAAACATTAACATAAAAGAAAAGGAGGATGGAAAGCTAGCAAAAAACCCAAAAACAAAACAAGTGTTGCAATGGGGGGAGAGGAAGCAGATCGATTTTAGTATCGCCCATGTCCCCCTCATTGAAGATACGATACTTAATTGAAAAACATATTTTATTTGTTAACTATTGTGACATTATCGTATAACTACATCAAAGACAACCGTTCCTGGTACTATTATTTGGTTCGGCAAATATTGGTCTTTGCATTAGGATCCGAGATATTTTCTTATCATGCATATTTGAATTGGTTCATATTGTGTGTAACTGGAACGACAGGAGCACACTATTAATACTTGCTACCACATGATTAAAATTATAGATACCTACTTATACGTACAATTTGTGTAATTGTATAGTAATTAATAAATAATTGGGAGATGGCTTAATATAAGAGCCTATTCTTGTTGCCAGATCCGTAATATTACATTATGTAAAATAATATAGTCTACATGTATTATGTAGAGCATATTTGTAAATAAAATACTATTTAAGAAAAAAAAAAAAAAGTATAGTGCAAATGGCAAAGTTTGATGCAGTCTATCATATGTAGGTACATGCATATTGGTTATGGATATCTGCCTGAGGGGATAGAACTGGGGTCAGAGTCGATGGTGTTCATATTTAGTGTTGCAATTGCATTATCTACGACGTATTTTACCTAAGTTTTGGACGCACTATACACAGATACACATGACCACCAAAACACATGTGAAGTAACTTCATTATGAGTGCAGCCGTCTCCGAGGAAACGACTGGAAACTGGTGGGCTGAAGAGAAGTAACAAGAAAAAGAAGTTCGCATATTAATGAGTAGAAACGCACAATAACCGTAAGACACGAAATTTGTGTGGACTTAATGACAAACATTTAATTGTAGAACTGGAGGACATATACGAACGTACATGCTGTTTGAATATTCATGATGGAACGCATTTCTGTATTATTTAAATGGCATATATACAATGATGGGTATTACTATATGTTATGCATTATGTTGTTACAAAACGCATACAACAAAACAAAACACTGATGCTGACTCGATAATGGAAGAAACTGATACAAACATGTTTAATTGTCTATAACAGAAACAGGGACAACCCGTCGACGAAGGACATTATCCGGTAGATATCACTGTTCAATGCCAAATCACTTCCTAATTGCTTTCCCTAACCATCTTGCATGGCTATTTGTTAACGTTAATATCTGCAAATACCAACGCTTGAATCACAGCTGACATTGTTAATATACTTTCAATAGGTTTTAGCTATTTTAAGCACAATGTGGATATGTGAAAAAGCGTTATTTCACAAAAATTTATCATTGAATCTCATCCTGGAAATTTATATTGTAAATGGTCTGATTTCATATCGATCCATAGTTTAGGATAAAAAATTACATTATATTAAAAATGTTATTTTGTAAGGTATTTTTCTTGCTTACAAAAAAAATACTTTATTACATTACTGCGTGTTAAACACTTCTGATGATTTCTACACTCTGTAAAGTATATTGTAGTATAATACATGTTTTATGATTGCTGCCCAATACAATATATAAATAGATTCGTGCAAAGGACCTAACGTGAAGTGTATTTGTTTTGTGTTAAGTACTGCTTTGTCTATCAAACCATTTTTGTTTGCTTAATGCATATTCACAATTGAGCTTTCATTCGCTATTTTGTCTTTCACATGATATAAGCGCCCTTCGTAACGATATAAGTCCTTGATAATACAGTTTACCCGTACTTATATACGTCAACAACGATGTGATTACGATAATTAAAATATTAGTTTACAACTTGGTGTGACACCTTTTCTAGTGCAGTAGCTGGACTGTTAATCTCAATAGCTTGTGATGTTATGATGATCTGTGTTTTGATTGGCTGGTTTACGGGATGAAAATAGCATCATGATATATGTAGGCTACATTTGTATATACTATCATACAGTTTCACTTCTTCGTATCAAAACTTTCTATTAGAAGCATCTGTTAAAACTATGTAAATCTTGTTTCAAATTTCATACCGGCAACATCCCGTGAGGTTATCATAAACAAAACTTTGCTTCAATGTCAGATTATTGCGAAAGCAAATTAATTTTTTCAATAGTGTTAAGGATACTTTGTGTGTTAAGGCATGTGACGAAACTATAAAAATGTACTTCATGCATTTATAGTACAGGAAATAAAGGACAAGATGTGGGAACAAATAGAGGAGGTCATGTCTGATGGCTTGACTACGTCAGATGATACCATAACCATAGAGGGACTGTCTCGGCGGCAAAGTGTCAGGTAAGTACATCGAGATCAGGGACTGTCTCGGCGGCAAAGTATCAGGTAATATGTATAAAAGAAATTCGAGGAAAGCAAATAAGGATTGAATAGTCATTAATCGATTTCTACGTTTATTTAAACGATGCTAATTGTCAAAATGTACACACGATCAAGTCCACCTCAGGGAAAAATTACAAAATTCATGAAAAATGAAAATGATGTTTCAAGCAGGCCCATCGAAATATATCTCGCTTAAATTCAGCTTCGACTCTAAGGTAAATAGATTAACGGTAAGCCTGGATTCAGTGTAACATATTCAGTGTAACAGATGGGCAACGGATCGGCATGTTTCGTATCTGTTACTGACTTTACAATATACACATTTTGCTCATTATTTAATTTGAAAGTAATTTCTAAAATTAAAACATTTGGAGATTTGGCGCACCTCCCATTCTGTTGTGGTTTTGAAAATTTCCTACGTATTGAATCCTAGCATCATCGATAAGTCCCAGAAGGACGAAACAGCTGGACGATGCAGTGTAATAGATAATTCGGCATATGGTATATATTTCCAAATCTTGAAGGTGCAATTACCTTATTATGTCTGACGTCATATTTCTACGTAGGAATGATTGTTAACGGAAAAAACTTTCCATATTTTGTATTTTGATTGATTATGTTAACACTATGCGTAATATATATATAAAAGGTTTGTTTGCTAAAAAGGCTTGTGAGATCCGGTAATCTATGCTATTTTTTGTTTCAGAAAAATCTCCAAGAATGGCTCCTTAGTGCCATCAAAATTGTTGACAAGGGCAATATCTCGACAAATGTCAAGATCGATTTCGCGATCAATGACGAGGTCAATGACAAAAGCAGACGACAATACATTTGGACAGCTGATAACAGAGGAGGGGACAGAGGAAGGAGCGGTGAGTTCGAAATATGCCTTCGTCATTTTCATTTCGATACATTTGTTTCCCGTATTGTTTGTTTATGTCATTTTTATTTTACATGCATTTTTCTTTTGGGAATTTTTTTTTGGGATTCGTTTCGTTATTAAATTGTCTTAGAGTTAAGAAAGAATTCTTGTCTACTGTTAAATTGGCAAAGAAACAGTTTCTTCAACATTAAAACTTGGTTTAAGATATGAAACGAATCATAATCCTACCGCGTCGTATACTTATTCCCCTCCAAATACATGACAATATTAGTGCTATCTTTATCTTTCATAATGATAACATGATTTCTAGCTGACACAAAACTAAGGGTGTCATATATTATACGACATTCCACTCGATGATTGAGAAGGCTGCGAAATACAAAAAAGTGTACTACACACTCTTAAAAGCTATGTTATATGTACAAAAACATTTCAGAACTTCAACCACATTCATCAAAACTATGTTGTTAATCTGTTTAAAGATATTTCCTCGTTAAAGAATGTTTTTTTAAACACTGTATTGTCATCGATGTTTAAACATTTTCCTCCGTGAACAGTTACGAAACAAAGTTTTGATGCTTTGATTCGTCATTTCGTACATGTAAAAAGTAATCAAACACTTAACACGTAGCCGATTTGTCGACGAAAACGTCACTCATAATCACTTACTGGTTGTATTACATAAACATTTCTAAAAACCATGCTTCAACACAATTAAGAGAATGTACAAACGTTTATTTCAGCTTGTTTATTGAAAATATTCGTCCGTTGTCGATTAAGAGCATAGGATGCATGACTACTGCCTTCGTTACTTGTGGTTTAAAGAACATATGATTTATTTACATTAAGGTGAAATGGGGTGTAACACTCGCCTACCTCAAATCGATGGGAGTGTTTGCAACAGTGTTTGCATTGTTTATGATGACCGTATTCCAAATCCTGAATGTGTACTCGACATTCTGGATCACTGGGTGGACATCTGACGAGTACCTTGTCAACACGAGTCACCAAGGGGAGGACGAGTACATCGACAAAAACATCTACTACCTCGTGGTATATGGTATTTTCGGCATCGCACAAGGTAACAAAATGCTTTTAATGACCTAGACCTACGCTTGAAATATTGATTAAATGATACACAATATACTTATATCGTATACTGTACATTCTGTATACACAATTTAATTGAAACTTATCATTATTTTTGCTATGTGACTTTAATTAGTTTTACCGACTACATATGTGCAGTGTTGCACCACCGCTACCAATAGACTGTTGTCTAGTATAAGGTCTAAGTATTTAGACAGAGTGTAAGCAATGTGCTGAACGATATTTTTAGGTCACCTGAGCTTTAGCCCAAAATCAAAAATTCAATTTGGCCGCAAGCTGTCATTTTGAAAAAAACACCAAAACTATTTCAAACTTAAAACCAAGTTCTAATAGGCAGATTTAACTAAAACTCGGTCTAGGAATGATCACCTCATGGTCATAACAAACTTACCTTAACGTTATACTTAACTAATTTTTACTCAAATTCTATTTCAAACTTAAAATCAAATTCTAATAGGCCGATTTAACTGAAACTTGGTCTAGGAATGATCAACTCATAGTCCTGACAAACTTAACTTTACGTTATGCCTAACTATGTGTTACTCAAATTGGTAGAGATGATTGACATCATTATATCCACCTCATATTTTAACAACAACAATAAATACTGTAGGACTCAGGTGACTGTTAAGGCCCAGTGGACTCTTATTATATTTAAGGCGCCAAAAGTAGCTTAATTAGACCTGGTTAAAGTTTTTAGGCAAGTTTGTACGTGCAGCGTTGGGTTTCCACCATCAAAACACTGTTGACTATTTCCCAATGTCTGGTCATCTCTTCTGCACAAAATGTTAAGGTAAAGCAAAATCTTATGATATTGCCATCATTTGTTGAAAGGAATACTGGCATGATAAAGGGGTTCGGAAATAAATTGAGGGAAGCGTATAAAGGTATTCTGAAGAAAAACATAATTAAGGGACTTGGACATATATTGGCGGTAAGCGAAGTGGCAAATGAAATGACGGGCATTATATCAAGGTTTTACTATGCATGCATATATATGTGTTTCAATTGCTTTATGCTATCTTACAACATATATCACCAATAGGCGAGCTATGCTGTTCTTCGACAGCTCTTGTTTTTGCTGTTATATAAACATAACTCATTCATTAAAAATACGAACATGTGGACAATTATGTTCTTCTGCTTTTTTTTTTGTATTTTTGAGGAATATATCTGCAAAGCAATTTAAGCATAAAAATGCATTTAGTTTGTTTCGGTACATACCACTTAATCCTAACACGAATTCTGATTATCCCTTATAATTTGATTAAGTGAACATTTATTCCTTTTCTTTAAAAGAAAAATATGTTTGCACTAAACACAAACATAGCGCAGTTCAAGCAACATCAACCAATCAAAAGTTACAATTACAAAAACGGCACCAAACATTACGGTATACGACGTCTCACTTTTTTGTGTTTTATTTTTCTTCATGGTATATTTGAGGACTAAATCCGCGAAGCAGTTTATTCACAAAAGTGCACACATTTTTTTCCGGTACAAACCATTTAACCCTTATTTTTTTTTCTGATTATCTTTTATAATTTAATTTATTGAATATGTGTTCCTTCTTAATAAAAGAAAAATGTTTTGCACAAAACACAAACATTGTCCAGTTCAGGCAAATCAACCAATCAGAAGTTAGAATTACAAAAACCGCGGCAAACATTACGTTATACGACGTCTCACTTTTTTGTGTTTTATTTTTCTTCAAGGTATATTTGAGGACTAAATCCCCGAAGCAGTTTATTCACAAAAGTGCACACATTTTTTTCCGGTACATACCATTTAACCCTAAAAAAAATATGATTATCCTCTATTATTAAATTTAATGAATATTTATTCCTTTTTAATAAAAGAAAAAAGTTTTGCACAAAACACAAACATTGTCCAGTTCAAGCAAATTCAACCAATCAGAAGTTAGAATTACAATTACCGCGCAAAACATTACTATATTCGACGTCATTACTTTTTTTTTTTATTGTTTTTAGGTTGTACGATATAACATGAAAAAACACGATCGGGACAAAAGCCAAAATTAAATCATTTATTTAATATCCTATTACAGGGATCTGTCTCTTCATTTTTGCCATCATTTCGCTTATGCGGATTGTGCAAGCAAACGGACGTCTTCATGCGAAGATGTTAAACTGTACGTTCCGGTCCCCGATGTCATTTTTCGATACGACACCTATCGGTCGAATTATGAACCGTTTCTCCAGTGATATAGACGTGTTAGACGACCGCATGTCTCGGACCTACAGATTGCTGACAATTTTCCTGTTTGTGCTGGCGTCCACAGTCGTTGTTATCTCTATCACGACACCAAGCTTCCTCATCGCTCTTGTCCCTGCTGGAGTTGTCTACGTTCTCTTTCTAGTAAGTATGATATATTTTTATTCTATCATGTATCAAATGTTGATTACAATAATTCGTATGGCAAATCGGGTGCAATAAGTAGCATCTTCCTGGCCTTGAAGTATTTTTTCACATGGTTTTAGTATAGAGTTTCTGCAAAAACGAAAACCAAACCCACCAAATCTTACGGAAATTTCTGAGGACTGCATGTTCCATATATCATCTTGGTGAAACCTTCATTTAAGCATAGGAATGATATTCTTTTTAACAACCTCACTATTTAATGAAACAGGTTTGCTAGTTGTTCATGATTTTTTGTTCTCTTGTTGTTAATACCATTTCTTCTTTTTAGAGATTCTACCTTCCGACAGCCCGTCAGCTGAAGAGGATAGAGTCAGTGACTCGTTCGCCGGTATACAATCACTTCAGTGAGACCATCACGGGCGCTAGTGTAATACGAGCGTACCAGGCATCCGAGCGATTTATAGAGGAATCTCAGAAACGGGTAGACAAGAACGCCGCCTTCTACTATGCCGCTAATGTGTCGGCAAGGTAAGGATCGGTTTAATATTGTAATGAGCTATGTCTAATCCTTACAATGGACAGGTGTAGGTAAAGGTTGTCACTCTGGTAAAATAATAGCCGCTTCCTACCGACTCGGCTAGGGAGACTTTTTCTTTAGCTCATTAGATAGGGTGTAAGACCAGTAAACAAGAGGTCCTGCGTTCGACTCCTATCGGAGGCATGGAGCATATAATGACCTCTGTTAAACATAACCCAGACACATGCAATTTTTGAACAGCTATAGTAACCTAGGAACAGAGACAAATAACATACTGTAATGCGGATTTACCGCTTCCGGAAATCGGGGTCCGGTCCCCGGATTTGATATTAGACACGTAAGCACGCTATCCGGGGTTTGTTGAGTTTAACTGCCATTGAAAGATTGCTCTGAAAACTCGGACGATTTTTGTGTTGTTATTGAAAAACACAGCCAGCCATCCGGCATAACAATACGTACATGTAGACATGTACATGAAATGGGCAATATCAGATGACACAAATTTCCCTTCCCTCCTCACTGACTGGATCCTCGATACCCAGGGGATACGCTTACTTACGCTCTCTGCACCCCTGGAATATGTAATAGCAAAACTGAAGGCTCAGTGTGCGCCACCCTGTCGGCGAAACAAGAAGATTGGTTTGAACCTTTGATGTACATGAAACGAATCTTGTGGTCGCGTAACGGAATTGACTGACTTCGAATTCGGGCATCGCTCCTCTTCAAAGGACAGGTTCACCCTAGTGATTGGTCAGTTTTTTTTTTACCTGAGACCAATCAAAAAGCTAGCCGTTTGCCTTCATTTTTGCTATGACAAATTCCAAGGGTAAAGAGAGCGTAAGTGAGCGTAACCCCTGGATATCGAGGATGCACTGATTGGATCTAACTGACTTGGTGGTCGGAGATTTGTGGTACTGACTCTGTGTTAGTACTTTAAGGAAACAGCAGGTCAATATGCCCTTCATTATCTCACTTCAATTATTAAGTCATAATGCTCCTTGCCAAATGTAGTACAATTGTCTTGATGTGTTGTGTGTTATGATGTTGTTATGATTAAAACGTAATAGTGATATTCAAGCGCGAAAATTAAGATTACCGGTAAAATATGTAGGTTTGCTGTATTGCTATTTTGCTAAGGTATAAGTACAATGATATTGTAGATGGATCAGTGTCGTTGTGGAGACCATCAGTAACATACTGGTGTTTGCCGCGGCGCTGTTCGCCATCAGTGCACCAGAACTGAGTGGAGGAGACGTTGGCCTCACCCTCACTTACTCTTTGCAGGTAATGTAGTATATCAAAGTTTTACTTTCTACACAAACAATGTACGTATTAAACATGTGGCAACGATTCACGACCGACTGGTCCCTTGGTCAAGACTGAGTGAGCGATTGGTATTGTTTTACCTGTATAACGATGTGACTAAATTGTATATTTTATGTCACTCGACCCGGGAAGTTTCGCCGATCGATAGGGATCGTTTACTCACCCCATCAGATAGGTTACAGGTAGGGTGTAGATCTAGCCCCTCCCCTGTTATGTCAGTATCGGGTCATACATATGACTCAGCTGGTTCCCCCCATCTTCTCTGTTCATATATAATATATTACATACATACATACACAAAGTGATGAACGTATTGTTTAAACATTTATGTATGTTTCATATTGCTTGAATACTAGTAAGCATCCGTTGAATACGTATATTAACATGATACGTTTATAGCTAGTTTAGATATAGTTATACACTCTTGGAGATTTTTTGATATCGTGCTTTCAAATTAAATCTGTGCACTTTTCCTCTCATGCATCACAAAATTGGTATCTGTTTCTACCATAATGCACCAGAATTCGTTTGTATTGAGTGACTTTGTAGAGGGCTCGATAACTGTGCGTGGTATTAGGACGGGTGAGGGGGGCTAAAGACATGATTAAATGTTGGTTGTCGATCAAAGAAAAATATCTTTGAAAAATATGTAAATCAGTAGCATGACGTTAAACGAATGAATTTTGTTGCAATCGGCCCACTGATTGGTAGAAATATATAATATTTTGCGGTGGTACCGATGATAACTTGTACCATTGCTTAAATGTTTGTGCGACATAATGCTAGGTTAACATATCACGTTCACGATGGTACTGCTAACGTTCACGAGGGTACTATTATATATATAAGTTTTAGCAGAATTAAGTAAAATACGAAATTTGATTATTGTTTATATTCATTACTCGACAGTGAACGGGTAATTGTTTTTTCTTTATCAAATATACTATTCATGATAATACTACTGGCCGGTTATTTAGTTTTGAACTTTCTTCTCTTAACGGCAATATAGCAACATTAAGTACCAAGCGAATATTACTGATCAATGACTTATCTTTTCGAATATATAAAGAATTGTGTGCTGTTGCAAATATGACTTACAACAGTTATTGTATAGTATTAAAACGTTATATTCATTTATACTATTTTCTTTTACGTTAGTGTCTTAAAGGGACGCCATAAAATGTTTATTATATTATATTTACTTTATTGATATCTTTCACAGACCCTATTTTAATCGGTATTTGACAGCATTTAAAACGTTTCGAAGTATCTCAAGACTCCTAAATTGTATCGACATTAGTTTCATTTCCTTTTATTAATTATAAATATATTTTTATTTGTTAATTTAAATATTTCAGATTGTTGTTGGTTTAGCGTTAGTGGTGTTCGGTGTCAGCGAGATGCAGATGAACATTGTATCTACGGAACGCGTGGTGGAATATACGGATATGCCAGCAGAGGTTTGGTTAAATTTGGTGAACGATGATGTGCTAACATTGCAGTTCTGATAAAAAATACTGTGCTTTGACATTATGGAGATGCTAAAATAATAGGAATTAAGAAAGCGTAAGATACCATTATTATGTCAGAATGGTTAGAGGTTAAAATTGGGTAAGGTAGCCTTATTATGTCAGAGTGGCTAGAAGTTAGATAGGGTAGGATAGCCATATTGTGTTAGACTTTCTGATAGCATCTACATGATGACAGCGTAGGATACCTTATTATGTCAGAGTTGCTTAAAGCATCGAAATTAGATAAGATATTTTCTAAAATTTAATGGTAAATAATAATAACCATTTTGACGGGCAAATCTAATTTACTCTACTACCTCTGAAAACAGTAATGTATATTTTGTTATGAACTCATCATGATAACTAGGTGGGTTCAATAACAACTTGACTTTTCGGCATTTTGATTGGTCAATATTACAAATTATGATGCAACTAATAATGGAAAGAAATGACTGATACAAATTCTGGATTCAGAACAAATACAGGTAACTCGTGTATGCTCTTATATTTAGATGTGATAACATATATCAAGCGATTACATTCAAATCAATTCATTTTAGTCAAATACAACAATAAACAATCAGACAGTACCTTATCGTCTATTTAGAGACTTCAACAGCACTATATCATGTCATCATCATGATATTGAACAAAAGACTATGTTAACATATCTTTATAAAAAGAATTGACGCCAGTTAAATTGATAAAAAATAGGTTTTTCGGTTATTCCGTCTTTGTGTATTGCAGAATTATCTTCTCTTGTGAGCAGGTATTGATTGTTACGTCATTGGTTTGTGAGAGAAATGTTTAAGAACATTGGTTGATAAACCAATAATATAGTTATAATGACTAATACGGCTGATACAAAATCAACGGGAACGGATATCAATATCATCATAATATCTTACGCTTCTTTTTGACAGGCTGAATGGATCAGAGATGACTTTCGCCCTCCCCCTATGTGGCCTCACGCCGGGAGTATCAAGTTTGAGGGCTACACTACAAGGTACCGCCCCGGACTGGAGCTTGTTCTCAGGGGCATAGACTGTGAGATACAGAGTGGGGAGAAGGTAATTATACTACGATCGCATTCATAGACAGATGTGTTCTGAATTCTAACACATAACGTTACTTACTAGGGGTATGGGTGACACTATTGGGTGATACGGTGCACTCTCTATCTTAGCCGATTTGTAGTGTTAATATAGTTGGTACGAGTGACCAGTCCTATGGATTGGGTAATGAATTGACCAAAAAATCGAAATGCCTTTTTGTATTTCCATTGCAAAATACTTCAAGCGAATACACAGACAAAAAAGATGACCAGAATAACAATTCAACAAGATAATGCCAAAATTTAACAAAACCGTATTTCAAACTCGAACGGGGAAACAACTAGGGCGACATAAACGAAGTAAAGACCGTTGAAAAAGTACAAGGGAAATAATACTAGGTGTTCCGAAAGGGTAAACAATTTTGCACCCACCACTTTAAATCAAAGTTATGTCACAAATTCATAACGGAATTTAAGAAACAGTGACACATTGGTTTAACTATTTTTTTCCTCATAATATCAGAGATACGAGATACAAATATCTATTATGAGCGTTTACGAATTTCATATGCATATATCAGTTATCAAGTGGAGTAAACATATTTAATTAATAAATGACTTAATTTTGGTCATACCCCACAAAACATTAATTAATAAATTCATCAGTCGAACGACAATTTTTCTTTTGAAACTGATCTGTTCAATTTCAGATTGGAATAGTTGGAAGAACTGGGGCCGGAAAGTCGTCTCTGACTGTCGCCTTATTTAGACTCATTGAGTCAGCATCCGGGACGATATCTGTAGACGGGATACGGACAGCAGACCTTGGACTGCATGATCTAAGGCCGAACATCACAATATTGCCACAGGTAATCGCAACTCTTAACCCTTTCACCCCTATGTAACTTAAGTAGGCTCTACAATGTATTGATATGGATGAGTCCATTATGGTCTACAGTTGTGAAAGGGTTAATCTCTGCTTTTTATTGATATGAATACTATCATTACATATGTATCAACAATTCTTTGATCTGTCCGAGATATTGGGAGATTAGATGTTAATACTGCAAAAAAAATTACAATTGTTACAACAAACCAATATATTTTTTATCTGATGAATTCAATTAAAATAAATCAATGTTTGATTTCATATGGGGAACGCTTTTTCTAATAAAATCATTGACTTTAGTTTTGAATTAGGGAAACAGTTCGACGATTACGACACGATGACCTCTACACTTTTTATACAGAATTCCTAATCAAAAAGTATTAGAACTACTGAACGATGCCTTATCTATTGTTATCCAACATATTTACCTTGTTTTCACCAAGGACCCTGTGTTATTCTCGGGGCCTCTAAAATCCAACCTGGACCCGCTAAGCAGATTTACGGATCATGCAATTTGGAAAGCGTTGGAGTCCGCCCATATGAAGTCATTTGTTCAGAATCAACGAGATCAGCTCTATTATGAATGTGGAGAGGGCGGGATGAACTTGAGGTAACTATGCATTAGCTCGATCATGCAGTGTTGACATTCGTGTTATTTGAATTAGAATTCTAATAATCATCAAACCGTTTTCGATATTCGTAGCTATACACTGGATATGGCTTTGATAGACAATTTCTGTAAAAAAATGCTTACATGGCATTTTTTGAATGAAATTAATGAAACAGACATACAAATAATCTTATCACTAGCAGAGTGATTTGACTGATATGATTCGGTGGGGCTATGCAAGTATTCGAGTCTTGTACATCCGGGTTTTATTTGTTACCCTAACTAAATGACCTACCTTGTCAAAAGAAGTATTCCGGCCCAATTACAATAAAGGAGTAGCTAATGGGAAATTAAGAAGAGGTTACCTCAATACGTAAAACTGTAATGGAAAAATCTAGTGCTTTACCTTCAGCGGGACAGGAGTCTTTAAAAAAGGTTTATTTTGATCTCAATATAGTTCTGTATTATTTTTTTGATGCCAATAATTTCAGTTCTACGTATACAATTTTATCGATTGATATATTCATGAAAATGCACTATCATTATAGGTATATCATTATCAAATCTGGTCCTATTATCCTTGCAGTAGTTCAGTACGTTTTTTTTGTTCATTTGCTCTCGTTTTTATCGATGTTCAGTTAGGATTTTGGTTTCGTTGACACATCTGCATTATCTATTTTCTCCTCTTTTGTCTGTTATTGATAACATCGCCGGTATATATGTTACAGTGTAGGCCAGAGACAGCTTGTGTGTCTCGGTCGAGCCCTGCTCCATAAAAATAAGATTCTAATATTGGATGAGGCTACCGCCGCTGTTGATATGGAGACTGACGAACTCATACAACAGACGATACAGAGCGAGTTCGAGGAGTGCACAGTACTTACCATCGCCCATAGACTTAACACTATCATGGAATACGACAGGTATGTTATAAACGTTGTAATTAACAATATACACTATTACGTGACATTACAGGTTTGATATGCATTCGGATAAATAATGGAATACGAAAGGTATGCGAGTTGTAATTAACAATAATTAAAAATACAGTTTTATAGGCTCGCATCTATTCAGAATAATAATTCAAACATATTTTTATTCAATAGCATAATACCTTTTCCTTATAGCAGTGTATGTGAACGCATATGAATTGTAAATAATACATTACGTTTGACTATGTATCATTTGCTTATACAAATATATCTATAATAATGTATTTCTCGCTCGAATGAGGTTTCGTTTTCGATATTTTAAATAGTTGATCTTCTTTTATAATGCGATATGATTTTGTTTCTTCAAATTCTGTTTTAAGAAATATTTATTGTTCTTAAGGAAGATCGATATAACCGAGAAACTAAAATTTCATTTTACCCTGATACAAAAAAACCTTCCCCATTGATGTGATGGCGGTAAACTGTATCGGAAGTATTCGCAGTCCTTTATCCTTCCGCCATTCAATTGGTTAGTTAAGCAAAACACATCTGCTGCATCAGATGATTTATATAACAAATTTTGCAGTTTAGTAAATTTGCATATTTATTCTATGATAATATCAAAACTCCTTTTTCTTTTCCTTCTTTTTCTAATTTCCTCTGTCAGATGTTTTAAACTGATTTTTGCAAGCGATATTACATTTTTGAAGAGAGTGATGTTCCGGATAAAGGTCTCATAGCAATACATCAAAATTCAGTTATATTTTCCCTGTTTCCCATTCCCTTTTTCTAAAGGGGGTTTAATTGATTTTCAAACAAAATAATGTTTTTTAAACAGAGTGATGGTTCTAGACAAAGGTCTAATCGCAGAATTCGAAACACCGCGGGCCCTTCTGCAGGACACCACAAGTGTATTTTACGGAATGGCAAAAGATGCGGAACTTACAGACTGGTTTGAAAATGACAAATATGCCAAGAAAATGTAAACGAACCTGCCTAATTAAATCCAAGAGGGAATGTATCAAACTATACACTAATTCGTTGTGACGCATGTTGTAGTAAACGCAAAATGATTTAGGTAATGTTAGATGAAGGTAATATCCGCACCTTTTGCGAGGCTCTTCAGAGAAGCTTGTTTTGAGGAAGTCTGTTTTGACATTTTAGTTTTCTACACAATATTACTCCACTCGAAATTTCGACTGGACTATTAGTTAATTAATGTAGAAATTTTGAAGTGTACATTAAAATTTCTGACTACTGAGCTAAACATCGAATTTACTGACATTAACATGGATTATTTTATCTTTATAAAAAGCAATATAGATATTTTAATCAAACATCATTTTGGACCATCATTATGAACTTTGATAATAAAAATGCAATGTTTTAAAATGTTTTGTTCTTCAATTGACGATAATTAATAAGACATTCATAAGATGTTTGCATTGATGAAAATAGCCAAATGTAGGCATCATCACGTACGGACATCTTTCGAACAATGTTTTCTCTGTAACATGACGTCTGTTGTTCCTGTTTCCATGTTAACATAATCCGAACACGTCCTTTTTACGAGAAGGGGGCGTAACTCTATTTGAAAAAGAAAAACAAGCAGATATGGTCTACAATAATCATTTAATCATATATGTGTATAAGCATTTTAGGAGATGCAGTGAAGATACATGTTTTATGTAAATGGGACATTACTCCGTATACATGTTGTGAAATGAACGAAGTGAATAATTGCATACACGTTAATGATGTGTAAACAGTTTTGTTGAATTCGGTCTTGTAGTTGAGTAGTGAATGACCGATCAATTAGTCAAAGTTATTTAAACCAACTTGCCAACAATGGTCGGAATAAGAAATTATTGGTGGATTAAAGCTACTTTCACAACTACATCATGAATTTGTTATGTGTGTATTGTTGTTTTGTTGAAAAATACTCTAGCTGTTAAGGAAGATCCCTACGATAAAATATTGGCAGCGGACGGGCGGATGGACAAGCTGATTCCAACAAGCATGTTTCACCCTCTCAAACGTCGTCTCAAAAATAAATTTCGAAAGCATATAATATGCCTTTCATTTTCATTCTATTCGAACATGAAAATCGACGGTTTCATGTTCTTGATTTGAAATCTGTAAATTATAAGCATTTTAAAGAATTGGTAATTGCTATTAATCGCGTTCATTCAATATCAAGGTTTACATGCCCAAATACACGAGTTCACCGTACAAGTTGTACTTAGTGATTGATAACCATTCAAGTCAACAACATTTTTTTAAGTTAAAGACGGTCCCCTGTGTAAGTAAAAACAAGATAGATAAACAATAATGTTTTGTATAAGCTGTTCGAACAGACGCAATTATATATATTTGTAAGTTAAAATAATCCGATTCAACAGGAGACAGCTTATGTCGCGTTAAGTGCACACCTGTTGGTAACAATGAAAGAATGGTTCGAACGATCACTACAACGGGAAACATTTATGATAAATACAATCCTAGCTGGCGTATGTTTTCGTACATGAAGTACTTGTGTATCACCATTTAACCATCAACGACAGCTGAACAATTGAATGTTAACAAGCTTGTCACGTGCCCACTCGTAAATTCAAAGGACAACATGATACGAAAAATTACAATAATGGATATCGATGATTAATAAGGAAATCGAAACTATAACATACACAGTCAATGCTTGTCAAGTGCCCAAAATTATACGAAGAAGCAGTACAATGGATATCGGTAATTAATCAGGATATTGAAACTGTTACATACACAGAATTACCGTAGTATGTTGACATACCGTAGCATGCCTAAATATAACGACAGGCTGTAATGTCCATAGTAAGGAAAAAACCAAGATTCCAGGTAATATTGTCATACAGTTATACATTTTGGTAAACAAAACATCAACATCGAAACTTTGAGTAAATTACAACGTTACTATAACTATGTCGTGTTTCTAGATCCTATCTGTAGGTCATTAGGTTGTTTGGTGATGTCATATCAAAAGCTTATGTTTTATATGCTATCATGCTTTATGCAATAACAAATGAATATTTTTAGGTAGTTTCACTAAAACATGTGCAGAACGCAAGATAGGATTTATGCACCATACACATAAAAATATGGTGTCACTAAGCGCCCTACGTTATATATGTAATGATATTACACACAACGTCCCTTTGGAAGGTGAGAGTATAAACACGCGCTTGTTTCTAGACATATTGATATCTAGATAAAGATCTGCCCATATCAGCTGATAGCGTTTGCTAAATGTAGTTAATTACAAATGGACTGCATGTGCATTCTATATGATGGTCAAACTCACTTTTTCGAGCATAATTAATACATTTGTACCACAGCAGGATGAATTTTGAATTTAATGGCTCAATACAAAGCAAACGTCATCGTTTTTCAATAGCGTTTTAGTTAATAAGGAATATTGAGTAACATAAACAGGATCATATCAATCATTTTCTTGTGTCGTTGAAACCGTCACTTAGGGCCTCTTGTATGAGCCATTACATTGAATTATGTTATTTCATTCTTACAGTTTATATTGGTAAACGTATTTGAAAAGAGGTGATATGACTGCCTTTTTCACAAATAGATCGAACAAATATTCCCCTGAACTTCTATTCAAACCATGTTCTTCTGTGAACCATATCAACATGTAAATCCGTTGTTACTGTGTTCTGTGAGGTTAATACTAAACTTAACCTTTACTTCCGTTTTAACTATGTTTTGTAGGACCATATTTTCCTCCAAACGAGGTTAATGATCAAACCAATATTTACAAATATTTTAGTCCTTTATCCATTGGACCGTATTTTCTGCCAAACCAGGACTACATGCAACAAATATCTGTCTATACTATTGTCCTAACCTCTTTTTTTTATTCTGGATTTTATTTCCTCAAAACCATTTATTGATCATACAAAAGTTGCCAATATTTCCGCCTTAACCATTTTCCTATAGAATCATATTGCCCTCAAAAGCAGGTTAATGAACATACTAATATTTGTCTATATTTTTATACTAACCGTTTTCTGGTTTTTTTCTCTTAACCGTGGGATTATGCAGATTTCATTAAAAAACAAGAGGCTCAAAGGGCCAGTAACGCTCACCTGTTTCTTTTGTTACATGAAACTGGCATATAGGTAGCTTACGACCAAATTTGGAGACTAGAACATAAAACAATTTAACATCTCTTCAACAGTTCTGAAGATTTTTTGTTTGAAAATTGAAATTTCATTTAAAAGCTTTTAACCCACATTGTCCTTTGACTCCCGACTTGCACTTGACCTTTGACCTCATTGTTGTAATAAAGAAAACAATTCACACAGTTTGAAGTGTTTACCATATTTTACCCATGTGACATCGAAAATAGGTCAAGGTCATTTAAATGAGGGAATTTTATAGCACTTCGTCGCAGGTACCAACTGGCTCCTTGAGAAGAAGATTGTTAAAGCCTTTTACCCATGATGACATTTGACCTCCGACTTGCACTTAAAGTTGACCTTTGACCTTATTAATGTAATTGATAACAAGATTCGCAGTGCTGGTCTACATAACATACCCAAGTATTATGACTCTAGTCCAAATGGTTCTTAGGATATCGTTGTTTGATTTTTTTTTACATATTTGACCGCAGTGACCTTGAAAGTAGGGAAATATCACTTAATAGCACTCAATCCCAAGTACTGTACCAACTGGCCAAATATCATGACCCTGGGCCTTAGGGAACTTGAGAAGCTTATAACTCATGTTGCCATTTGACCCCTGACTAGCATTTAAAGTTGACCCTTGACCTCATTACTGTATTTGGGAAAAATATTTACACTGCTTGTCTTCATAACATACCCAAATATCAAGACTCTAGTCCAAATGGTTCTTAGGGTATTGTTGTTTGAAATTTGTAAAAGATTTGACCCCTCTGGCCTTGAAAGTATGTCAAGGTCATTTTAATGAGGACACTGTATAGGACTTCATTCCAGGAAGCTACTTGCCAAATATCATGATCCTTGGCCCTATAGAACTTAAGATGAATATTGTTAAAGCTTTTAACCCACATTGACTTTTGACTCCTGACTAGCATTTAAAGTTGACCTTTGACCTCATTACTGTAATTGAGAAAAATCTTTGCACTGCTAGTCTTTATAACATAACCAAGTATCATGACTCTACTTCAAATGGTTCTTAGGATATAGTTGTTTGAATTTTTTAACATATTTCACCCCTGTGACATTGAAAGTAAGTCAAGATCATTTTCATGAGGACACTTTAAAGCACTCCATATCAGGTACATACTGGCCAGATATCATGATCCTGTGCCGTATCGAACTTGAGAAGAAGATTGTTAAAGCTTTTAACAAAAGTTGACATTTGACCCCTGATTGGCATTCACAGTTGACCTTTGACCTCATTACTGTACATGAGAAAAGTATTTGCACTGCTGGTCTTCATAACATACCCAATAGTCATGACTCTAGTCCAAATGGTTTTTAGGATTTGTTGTTTGAAATTTTTAACATATTTGACCCCAGTGACCTTGAAAGTAGGTCAAGGACATTTTAATGAGGACATGTTATAGCACTCCATCTCAAGTACCTACTGGCCAAATACCATGACCATTGATCCTCCAGTTCTTCAGAAGAAGTCGTTCAAAAGAAAAAGTTGACGGAGGGACGAAGGACGCCACAGTACAGAATAAGCTCACTTGGCCTTTCGGGCCACGTGAGCTTAAATAACTCAGTTGCACTGTGTTTATCTGAAACACATTTTCGGTAGGGATTACAATTCTATTAAACACTTGGTGATTGGCTGATCTAGTTATGCGAGTAATTTATTACAAATAACATTCCAGGTCAACGGGATTGCATATTAGTTGAAAAGGGTACAGTTAAAGATATGCTTCCTCCGTATAGGTTCGGGTGAATGATGTTCCTGTGTAATAGTTTTTTTGTTCGAATCAATGAATTTGACAATTTGGAATTAACGAAGTTATTTTGTCTTAGATGTTAGATTTCCAAGTAGCAATATTGCACTGTATGATTTAAAATACAGTGTAGATCAAACTTACACATGTACAGTACGTGTGTGTTAAAGTCCATGAAAGCGGTTTTTCATTGCTGTGCAAGTTCGAGATAACGATGTATCACTAACTGTTTGACTTCCACTCTCGCATAAGTTGAAATAGGTTAGATTAAGTGGTGCTGCCATTCTACATTTCTAGCACTGCCTAATCACGCACTCATTTAAAGCTGAGTAGACTGAAACAAGTAGAGTTAAGTATCTGGCTCCAAGATACAACACAGTGCCGTGCCGTGACTCGGACCCGCAACCCTTCGATCACGAGCCCGGCGGCCTACCACTTGACTACCGTGCCTCTTATATCCCGTATAATACGTTGAGTTTTGCTTTGTTTGGTTCTATTTCGTTTAACATATTCATTGTGTTAGTATACACACTACATGCATGTGTAACTTTACAAACAACTTAACTTGGTATCGGAATAAGGATTCGTGCAAGCCCACTAAATTGAATAGAGCATGTTCAAACACCCCGTTCTTTACACACAGCGTTTAGCAGCTGATATGATTGACCAACATTTATTTACAAAATTGTTAAATATTTTTCCTGCTGCTGAACTATGAAGTATATTAATTTTGTTTGATTGGTGGTTCATCAAATATGAACTATAACAACATACATATGATCCATCATAACATGTGTTTGTTTCTTTAACCTTAACTCCTGACATGGTCAAATATATCAACATATATACTTTGTTCGTGACTCTTAAGGTTGATTTATCTACAGGAAACAGCGACAGCGAACGCTTAAACGTTCATTGTCCCGTCAAGTGCACAATCGACCACCAGGGACAGAGTGATACAAGGAATTACCACAACGGAACAAAGTTGTTAAGCATGAATATGAACATGTGTGTTTACATACTACGTGTATATCACCATGTAACTATATACCGTAATATGTCTAACAAATGTTGACATACCGTAGTAAGTCTAAATAATGAAGAAACACTATTGCATGTTCAAATTTATATTTATATAAATGCTCACATAAAGTAATGTATAGCCTCTGTTGATACTGTATTGATATGTTAATTGATGTGGTTGTTATTATTAGTGCTAGCTCAAAACAAAAATTAAAGTGATATACATCGCCATTTAAATAACATCAGCTGGTTTTTGCTCCGATAGTTTTGTTTAATTTCAATCGCCCATCTCCACCCCTCACATCCTCCTGTATCTTTAATTGTGTATGTGCCAATCATTGCTGTCTAGTCCAAGGCCAATTATCTCATATCTAGACCTACCTATTTTGCCGACAATATTATACTTTTTTTTTCGATTTGGAAAATGTTTTAAGCATTTCGGTAAATGCTACAAAACGTAGGCATTTTAATAAATGCTCGATAACATCACAATCATGTTTTGTTTATTTTTTTGGCAAAAACAACTAGCAGAGTTTTCTGACTTGATGTGGTTCAATGTACACAATAACGAAACGCGTGGCTATAAATATTATGTATGTATATATTTGTATATTCTAATATGTATCAACATCTACATTACGACAGAACGTAGTTTGCCTGGAGATGAAAAGATAAAGAAAACAAAACAGAAGCAAAAAACAACAGAAACAAGTAGTAAAAAGAATATAATTAATCATCATTTCGTAATATTTGCAAGGTATTAACATTAGTATGTGTAAATAACTAGTATAACTAATGTCATTATGCAATGTTTCTTTAACCGGTCAGTAAACTTTGGTAATTTCTGTTCCAGATCAATAAGCATGTATAGATTTATGTTTGTTTCTATTTATACTTCTTGTGACTGTTCTAGACCTAATGAAAAGAAAGCTGTAGTATCACTGTCGACGTCTCTACAACCTATGCAAAACACATCATGTTATCATGACCATGGTTAGAAAACAATGCCAAAAGCGCCTGCCTTGCTTGTCTTCAGATATGTTTTTATTAATTCTTATTTCTATCCATACCCTCTGCACATAACAAAACGTCTTACATGTGTTACTGCCAAACTCCTTACAAAGTGTTGGATATTAAATTATGTTTGTCAACAAGAAATATTGAGAACGAGCATCAGAAACATTTCAATTTTCTTCTCGTTTATTTTTTGTATGACAATGGGAGCAGATGGGTAATAGGTTGTGTTTCATTTTACTACAATATGTAGTATGTCTAGATAATGTTGACACACTATAATATATCCAAATATATGTATAATGATGTAATTAGAACTTTATTAATTAACCACAATTATGAAACAAGTTATGTAACTTTTATTAATCACCCTTGCTGGCTAGGATGTTAGCGCGCATTTTATCTTAAAGTGGGAGAGAACCGGAGTACCCGCAGAAAACCCGCGAGGTCGGGTAGATGACATTATACATGTTCATGTCCGATCGGGGAATCGAACCCGATATGTCTTATGTGTGCCATTATATTTATCAACGCACTTACGAAATATGCGTTGAGACGGGGAAAAATCGTAATACAACACAGTTATACCGTAATAATTATAGTGGTTAAACGTTAGTATCTGTAAATAACTAATCTCTGATAATAGTGTGCGACCTGACCGTATCAGTAATCCAGTCAACCTTTCCAGCAAACTATGTTGCCGCCCCGGTCATGCTCCTTCTTGTTGAAAGAACCAACGTTGGAATAACAGCTGCATTTTAAAGTCGCGTTCGTTTCTGATTCACACACTATGATTGAGGTTATCATTGGGGTTTTCTTTTTAGAAAAATAAAATCAGCCTATCGATCCAGCCAGAATTGTGAGGCATAAGGTAGATATTGATTTAGTTTACCTAGTGAATGTTATTTGAACGATTATACGAGGTTCGCCTGTAATAATTTCATTAAGTGATGCTAAGTTTAATATTTTAAACTTTAACCTAGGTTTCGACCTTTAGAATTTGCACATCAATTACCAATATCCATAAAAGGTTTTGTCCGATATACTTGGTACATTGTGATTTTGAAGGATTCTTTTTCAACAGGAAATATTTAAGTGTCAACTGTCGTGTCAAGAACACGCGTGTCACCACTAGTGACTGAATGGCAGGGAGAGCTACAATGAAACGAGTAATGATTCATGCAGCTGGACCCGCTATGTTTCCAAATACTATGTGTGTATCACTTTGTAAATAAACATATTAGTATGTTTAAATAATTAGATATACCGTAGTATGCTTTGATATTGGGTTTCAATCTGAAATGCGTATGAACATACATACACAATTCTTGCCTAGAGATAAAATAAAGAAAAGTTAAATGGGATCAGTTTTATGTAATACCGTTATAGATATTAGGGGCCATCCTTAGTATCTGTATAATCAATCACTAATATTTCAGTTTGATTAGTTAGGGTTTACCGTCCTATCACCATCTAAGGTCCTTTAAAGATGTGCCTCCATGTGTGTTGTGTACGCGTGCATGTGTGTATGTATCCTGAAGGCAGGGCATATCAGTGTTATTACATCGTTATTATAGCGCGGATCTGATAACGACTGTTAACTTGATAAAATATCATGCCAAAGTCACCCAGCTAACCATTCCGCCAGGTCACATTATACTGACAACCGGTATATCAGTGATCAATGGTTCTAGACCATATCGATTAACTTTTCAGGATAATTCGCTTTTTTTACATGACAGAATCAATATTCATCATCACAGATTGATACTTTTAGTAACAACGTTATGTAACTTTTCCGTTTCAGATCAATTAACAAAAGTCAAACTTGCCCTTGTGACCACCTCTATTAAAAGACAATCTGTGTTAGGAGACCACTTTACTGTTCACTATTGTAGTGATCTCATTGTTAATCAAACTTAAAGAACTCACTGTTTAGACTGCCCGGGGTGGTCTCTTAAATCTGGATAATTCTGGACCTTATCAACTAATATATGTAGTAATACTGTAGCAGATTATACACCATAAACAAACAATTCAGTATGACACGAGGGTATGTTTAGACATACCACATGAGTTCATGTGAGTTGATGGTGTTGCTAAAAATATAGGTAATTAAGTCATTTAGAACATTTGGAAATTGGTAATTGTAGGTGAAGCATCAAATCAATATTGAGAAAACATCATATATGTTGATCTGACGAATTAATCGAAACAAATAAAAGTCCTCAATAGTTATAATTTGTTTAATATGTTGTCGAGATTATGATAATGACCATAACACTTTTCCGTCGTCCTCTTTGGAAATCTTCGGAAACACTTTGCTTTTAGTAACAACGTTATGTAACTTTTCCGTTTCAGATCAATTAACAAAAGTCAAACTTGCCCTTGTGACCACCTCTATTAAAAGACAATCTGTGTTAGAAGACCACTTTACTGTTCACTATTGTAGTGATCTCATTGTTAATCAAACTTAAAGAACTCACTGTTTAGACTGCCCGGGGTGGTCTCTTAAATCTGGATAATTCTGGACCTTATCAACTAATATATGTAGTAATACTGTAGCAGATTATACACCATAAACAAACAATTCAGTATGACACGAGGGTATGTTTAGACATACCACATGAGTTCATGTTAGTTGATGGTGTTGGTAAAAATATAGGTAATTAAGTCATTTAGAACATTTGGAAATTGGTAATTGTAGGTGAAGCATCAATTCAATATTGAGAAAACATCATATATGTTGATCTGACGAATTAATCGAAACAAATAAAAGTCCTCAATAGTTATAATTTGTTTAATATGTTGTCGAGATTATGATAATGACCATAACACTTTTCCGTCGTCCTCTTTGGAAATCTTCGGAAACACTTTGTTATAAGTTTGACTGTCATCAGTCGACATGTACCACGACAGTTATGATGTTCGGAACAGGTTACTGAGTACCAACTAAGACATGTAAACACCGTAAGCAGAGGAATCAGGTGTGGTACTTTCAAGAAGGTTTATTCGATCGATGTTGTTAATACATTTATTGTTTCATAAAACAGCACATCGTATATGTATCTGAATTTAAAATTGAAGAACGCGGCTATTTTTTTATTACCAGTCCGGAGAAGCTCGTCAATAGTTTTAGCTTTATAAGAAAAAAAAACAAATCCGTCAAAAGATGGGCAAAGTTTCTTACCATAAAGTCTACTGGAAAATCTTGCCACCAATCTCAACAGAAATATTATTTACCAGGATCAATCAGTTTCATAATATTATACCGGTTACTTCTTTGTGGCACACAATATGCTCCAAAATAATGTACAACCATACAATTATCTCGCCGTTAGCCTTTCCTCGACAAGAAAGTTCTTATAATCAATTTTGATAAAAGAAACATTTTGCGGAAGAGGATTTTCAAGATGTTCAAATGACTTGAAACTTAATTTCACAAAATCCACATTCGATACGTTCCAAATATTGCGTATGCATGTTCATGATATGATTCAAATCTTTATTCAATTATGCTGAAAAGGGTTGTTTGAAGTTTGAATAATGGTTTGGTTGAGTAACTAGAAGAGCCATCGATAGAAACGTTGTTTATAGGAATTTTTGTGTGAAGTTTTGGAACCCAATACAAACGAGACAGGTCCGTAAGATTGTTATACAGAAACGTGATAAGCTAATATTTCAATGTGCTCTGCATTGCCACTATATAACCTTACTAAACAAAATAGAAAGATATCAGATCATAATTCTCACATAATTCATTTACAATTCTCGAATGGCATCTGTATATACACCAGGTTCAACGATATTGTCAGGTAGGGAAAAACTGGTAACTGGAAAAAAATGTACAAAATAGGGATTTTGTAAATATCATAATATATCAGGGAAGATGTTAAGCAAAGTATCAATCGCATATTGATTTAAAACCTAATCACTTTTTCAAAACAACGTTTCATTAATAAGTGAAATTGCATTAATTACTGGGCATATATATAGTCATACTTCTCACTTACGTATGTCGGGAATGAGGTAAATTACCCTTTGTGTTTTGTCAAATGTAATGTATTTACTCGACAGATATGAAAAAGACACTGGACCTTTTCTTTTCGATGTTTAAATCCAAAGTAAAAGTAAGAGGTAAGAGTCCTTAGTCATTTTAATAGGTAACCATAGTAACTGTCTTCAAGCCAAACAAAAATAGATAACTGGATCATAACACTTTTTACATTAATCCATATTTCTGGTTATTTCGGAAAATTATTAACGTTATCAATAAATATGTCGTTTTTGTAATAATGAAATGTAAAACACCATATTTCAATGCAAGTTTGATCAGAGTGCGGTAAGAAATTTTGAAGAATATATTATAGTATTTGATATCATGATAAGAATTTCATATTCATATTACAGAATTTCTGTATTGAGCTACTCTATGTTAAATATCTCATGCAAATAATTTCTTATCAGGAGAAGTTCAACAAGAGGAAATACCTCGCGAACAAACTCGGGAAACTTTTTCCTCTTCAGGAGAAGATAAACCCAAGGAAATAACACCTGAACAAAGCAGCGTTATAAAAGCAATTATGCACACCAAAATAGATTCCGAATGTACTGAGGAAGTGAAGGGTTTTGTCACAATCTATGACTTTGGAGGGGAGAAGGTTTTCTACAACACACATCACTGTTTCATGTCAAGCAACATGGTCTTTGTCCTGGTATTTGACGTGGATATGTGTCTGGACCCGCACACACAAAAGGATGGTTACGGTACCGTTTAATATTAAATTAGATGCACGTTTTCATTATACAATATCTATAGTACCCAGGTAAACTATTGACACAGGGCCTTTCTGTTTCAACATAACCTTAGCGTATGTGACCATTTTAAGAACTGAAGCAGAAGATAGGTTGATAATTTACTTACGGGTCGTTCGCTTTCATGCTTTTGCATTATGGTGCAAATTACTATCTGTGAACCATTTATTGACTCAGATATGTTTCATGTCCTCTAACGTGTCACCAAGCCACTTTGGATATAATGTATACACAGATTACTGACTGAAGTACCTCTTTGGACAATTTTAAAGAGTTGTATTTTCAAATTGATTCGAAGTTGAAAATATCCAACGAGAACTTTCCCCAAGTGATTTATATGACCGATGCATGTTATATTAATGATTGATTCAAACAGGTATAATATTCCTTTCTCTTAGTCAATGATTCACATAACCCTTACATTCTGAATTTCACGAAACCATTTTAACTGTTTAGTCTGGGTCGGATGAAATATTGGTACACGCCTTATTGGGTCCTGTAATGACCTTTTTGTTATTTCATTTTCTATTCTTTTTAACAGAGCAAATCGAGTTCTGGCTGAGGAATATCGCGACCTATGCCATCGACAGAGCAGCACGCGGTAAAGGAACTCCTCCTATCATCCTTGTAGGATCTCATTTGGACCTTGTTTCTAAAAATGTAAGAATATTTAAGCGCAAACAGCATAGTATATATAGATATTGTTAATACAAATTTTCACTTTTTTATTCTATATCATATATCTTGTGTTTGGAAAACTTTAACGTACCAAATGTCCGATATTTATTGGACTGTCTCTTCTTGTTTTCAAATTCCTCTTATTTCATTTATTTATTCTAATTACTTTAATTGTCATGGTAGATACCTCCCTGAATTAGATACAACTATCCTTGACAACACATACATATATATATTAATAAATGTTTAATTTAACGAGTAGGTCATATTGAATATAATTCGATTTTAATGGCTTGCTGTTGATCAATCAGACAAACAAAGATTGAATAAGATTTCCAACAGTCCTGTGTGTTGTATGATTTGAACCGCGTAATATGATTCTATCATGTCAAGTAATGAACAGTCATTTTCCAATTAGTATAATTGAACTGAAAATAGCAATTTATTTTTTATATTCCACACAATAATGCAACTATATAAATTAGCATATACACCACCTTGGGGGGCTGTGATCCGTATCCATGAAAAAATGTTATCTTGCTCACAAGCATGGTCTTTGTGCTTAAGCAAACTTTATTTTAACTTGCTAAGTTACTTGGCGCGGTCAAAGCGTCAAAAGTATAAACTAAAGTCAGTGTTCGTCCTTCATGACACTCTACAAATCTTCCACGTCACTTTCAAAATACAAACTGTTAGTAACTTGTCATCAATGTATTTCCATGCAACAGAAACGAAACGCCGCCTTTTGAGACACGTGTCATCGCTGTTCAAATTTCGTGTTTTGGACAGTTTAGGTTTTTGTATCGCTATGTTTCAGTACAGAGGAGATCTTTCTCAAATTTGACATAAAGGTTCCCCTTGGGCTTTAGTTTTTTTGAAACTGATCGAAAAAACTAAATAGCTGAGAGTCGTTTTATAGTTATTTCTTGTGAAGTACTCAAGGGATCTTTCTCAAATTTCAATATAAGTTTTCCTTGTTCTACAGTTTTGCATTTTTACCTTCGAGACTGACCAGATATACAAATGGACCGACAGATGAAAAGTACTGGAGAGTTCGTTTTCAATTTTGATTTACAATTTCCTCGTGGACCCTATATGTACATATTTACTTTTGAGACTGCTTAGATAAGCAAACTGGCCGATTGGCGGTCATTTTAGATTTTGACAGTTGTAGTTTGTTATCGTAATTTCTCAGAAAGTACTTGTGGGATCTTTCTCAGATTTAGTATGCAAGCTTCCCTTGGTCTTTAGTTGTACATTTGTTACATGCTAATTTTTGAGACTGATCGGATAAACAAAATGGTCGACCGTTAACCATCTTAGATCTTGATAGTTTAGTTTTGTTATCTCTATTTACCAGAAAATTTGATATTTATGTTCCCTTGCTTAAAATACTCCTGGTCCTAATGATGATTTATCCCTCATTGACAGCTCCCTAATCATGTAAGAATTACAAATTTCAACCTTTTGCATATTTTCATGTAATTCTTATACAATAACATTTTTCATCGTAGCTAATTATACATTACAATACGAGATCAAAGTTAATGTTCAGGTACCCATGGCAGTGACTGGGTAAAAGTATCTGTAAAGTAAGTGTAAAAAGGTAAAAGAATAGTTTTTGTTTATCTGATTAAATGTTTTCTTTTTCATTGTGGACACAAAGAACCTTCTAGGATTTTTTTTTTATCTCGTACTTACGACTTTTTCTTATCTTTTTTTGTATGACTTCACTTCGTACGTTCGACTTTTTATCTTGGACATACGACATTTTAACTAGTTCGATTATTTTTTTTAACTTGTTTCTTACGACTTTTCATCTCGTTTTTTCGCCTTTTTATTTCGTTCATACGACTTTTTAACTCCAACTTACGACTTTTATTTTGTTCGTTTAACTTTTAAACTCGCTCCTCGTTCGACTTAAATATTTTGTTATACTTAAATTTCGTAAAAACTACACATTCACTTTATGAATGAATAAAAAGTCCATTATATACCTTATTGATATTCCTTTGTTGTACTGTAATAACTGTGACATTTCTGTCTCAGCAATAATATTCAGCCTGATTAAGATAAAAGCAAGTATGGAAAAAGCTGCTCTTGTGGTGGGCAGAAATATGTCCCTTCCCTTTATTTCATCTGACGTTCTTAGAAAAAGTCCAGGTTCAATTCCTATATGTCTTATATTCTTTCGATACAATAGTTGCTTTATATCTTATACTGACAGCAATGGTTAGTCGAAAGATTTACTGCTACTATTAGTATTGTTTAGAAGCATATTTTATTGGGAGTCCAATGCATGGTATTTTACGCAGGAAGAAGAACAGGAAAGGTTGTTTGCCTCTGTATTAGAAAAGCTGTACGAGAAACCTGAACTACGTGAAGTTATGGAAACCCACGTCCAGGAGATGTTCCCAATTGCAAATCTAAACGATTCCTCTAAAACCCAAGACGTGTACCAGCGGGTGTGGAACAGGATAATAGAAATTGCCCCACTGCAATCTCAATGGATGAAGCCAGTACCTGCAAGATGGGTTGCCTTGGAACACGAGCTGGTGACAACGAAGAATGAAGGCCGGATAATCCTGACATATGCCGATTTGTTAGAAATCAATAGCAAGCTAGCAGTGCCTTTAGCAGAACATGACATCATAAACTTCCTGTGGTAAGTAGAAATCATACTGTATCGTTTTAGCATATAATCTACCTAACTTTGCTGTCTTTTTGAAATGAAACTTGTTGTTATTTTTAGGAAACTGAAGTTCTCCGGATCTTTCCTGATCTTTGATATTCATAGCAAGAGACCGTTCATCGTTCTTCAAGCACAATGGATAATTAATGCATTCAAAGCAATCATCACTGACCCCAAATTCACTACCAAACTAACGACGAAGCAAAGACTGCAATGGTCAAAATATGAGAAATCCGGTATTTTAACATTAGACTTTATAAGGGAACTTTGGGGACGGTACAAGGAATTTCGGTTCCTGGAAGAGGAGGAAACACTCTACATTGCACTCGAAACTCTCGGTTTACTTTCCAAACCACTGTCTGTAGATTCGGAGGTGAATTACTTCGTAGTACCGAGCATTCTCCAAACTGCAGATCCCGAGATTATTCGTCAAGTTATTGATGATCCTGACACTGTCACAACCGTTGCTCTTTGCCTCAAGTTCGACAATCCATTCATCCCACAGGCCGTGTGGGACAAGATGATTGCCGCTTGTATCCACAGGTTTCATCGACTTGAAGAACCCGGTCAGGATGGATCAATATTCATCCAGCGTGGATTTGCTTGCCTGTCTGTGGATTTCCTGTGGAACATGATCATCAACTGTTGCAAAAATGGTATGAAGATCATTATGTTCAAAAGGGACACAGGCCACTCAGTACCATCAGGAACTGGAATTAACCTTCTCAACATTCTTGAATTTCTTCTCCAAAGGATTCTTGAGTTAAATCACCAAAGTCATCTACGGTACCAATTCTACCTCCACAACGACTACCGGTTCACAGCAAATGAAAAGATGGTAAAAGTGGACAATCTTCGACAGACACGACGTCTACAATGCTACGGCTCAAATGGAACTGGATGGATAGACAGCGACGACCTCTACATCTGGTTCAGGAACCCAAATCAGAAGGTATACAAAATATGCATTATTTTCGTATAAAATATTACATATGTCCTCGAAATACACGGATATCATGAAACATCAATAACCTATGTTCATCAGAATGTCCGAGGTTAAGGCGTCTTACATTCTGCTACCACTAGCCCTCCATCACTGGGTCGCAGGTTCGAAGCCTACGTGGGGCAGTTGCCAGGTACTGGCCGTATGTCGGTGTATTTTTATGAACGTCGGCTTTCCTTAATCACCATAACACGGCACGTCCTTACATGAACTCATCTGTTAATAGGACGTAAAACACAAACAAACTAAACCAAAACTGACCATTACGAGACACGCCATGACATGAATACTTCCTAGGTAAATATTAACATTGGTTTTAATGTAGCCCGTTATAGACACCTTTGTTTTACTAAGAAAAACCGACACACATGTTGGAAATACTTTATAACTGTCTTAACTATAATTAAGTCTCCTTTTTGTTTATTTAAAACTAATTCCCTGTGCAACGTTGATATAGTAAATTCATGTAGACAGGTTTTCCGAAGGAATATTCTATTGGTGTTTTTCAAATGTTTAATAAACTTCAAAAGAAGGAACATATATAGCTATGGACTCTCTTCTTCAAAAAGGTAACTTCGGTAAGTGTTTTTTTTATAATAATTTTCGATAACTGATATTTTGTCATCATGCATTATACAAAATACTGCAATCATATCTGTTTAACACTGTGTATTGCCGTGTTTCCTCACAGGTACCTTTACCAGAGATATAGTATATTAAAGTATACGTCTCATGTAAATTGTAAGAATCTTTACTCTGGAATGTACTGTCCGCATGGTGACGTCATATGTATGAATATGTATATTTTTCTATTTGATAAAAAACACATTTTCTTTGAACACACAAATTAGCAAATATAAGGGGCACAACCTTGACTCTCATGCGTTGTTTTCGAATCCTAGGCAAAAAACTTGTATACAACTAGTTATATGTGTTGTTACCTTTAAAAGTGGTACAGTTATAAGTATGTATATTCTTAATCCATATCCTATCAAACTGTATGATTGTGTTCGCTTTGGTTTGCAGACAAAACGGACTCATATGCGTGACGTTGGTAAGTCTATATTTTTCAACATACAAATTGCTGTTGATGCCGTTTATGAGGACTATAACTGGATATATTGTTCCACTTATTCGAACTCGGAAATAATTTAAATTGTACATATATTCTGTTTAATGTGATTTAAATCTATACAATATGAAATACATGAAATATTTCTGGAACAGTTAAAACCGGCCATGCCTTTGATGGGAAATTAAACAGTCATACCACGATGAATTATTTTGCCTTACAAGTCCAACCAAACAATGCTGACAAACAAAGGTAATATAACGTATTGTACAGTCCATCTAATCCCTTTTTTTTTGTTTTTACGTTATGACTATCAGAATGATGCATTTGTAGAAAACATGTTAACAGATGATTTGTAATCAGATGTCGCATGTAACTTTGGTTGTTCTTCCACAAATACTGAGTAACTGGTCTTGTGCAGTCAACATTATACGGTAAATATATATGATATACGTTTATTTGTAATGTTTAAACTATGCTATGCTAATGGTATAATACATTTTACAGACTTGACGAAGGCTTTACCGGATAGAAGGCTATCGTTCAAAGAGATTGGTAGAGTCTCGAGATATATCGGCAGTACATACCAAACCTTCTTTGCCGAGCTGGACTGTCCAGTCGCGCTAGTGGATCAGGAGATGGAAGAGCACCGTCACCTCGCCTTTAGATCTCGCATAGCAAAGATATTCGTTCATCTCCTCAAAACGAATGCTGATACTGGATTCCTTTCTATAGCAGAAGCAATGTCACGACACGGGATGGACCCCTCCATGCTCATGGACATTCTGGACTCCAACAGGAATGTGATGTTTATAGGTGTGTAATGCTGCAGTCTCTCTGTTTGTGTCTGGAACCTATCTATCTCCCCTTCCACTTTTATTTGTGTTTGTCTGCTTTTTGTCAGCAATAATTTCTCTGAATAGGTTTTTCTATATATTTAATCGTCTATGACATAACTCTTCCTTAGACATATCCTCATAGTCCATGGGTTTTCGCTTACTTAGGTTATCTACACCCTTTGCTATTCTATTGGTTTCATGAAAAAGGTAAAAATAACTGACCAGTTGCTTGGTTGACACTTTGGAATGACAGAGGAGTGTCTTCTGGATCTACTGCCAGATATTAGATGCTATCTATATGGTCGACTTGTAGAATCCACACGATGGCTTCGATTTTGTCATGATATATTACGCGGGTGGAGAGACGTAGGCGAGTATAGCCACACAAATGTACTTCAGATACATTATAATTTGTGTTTCGTTTTTAGGAGGGAATTCAATTTTTTGTGTCGTATGTTGTGTCTTTTGTTTTCCTTTCCATTCTTTTTTTAAATATGTACTGTTTTTAAAGTTTTCGAATACGTGTTTTTCTCTTACTCTGTCTCTGTTGTTGTCTTTCATTTCTTTCTTGGCCTCTCGATAGACGATTTTCAGTCATTTTATTTTTATTTGTTTTCTGTTTTTTTTTCAGACGAGACATTGCCGGAAAAATGGTTAAATAAGTACTTGTCTGTCAATGATGTTCCGATCATCGCTGATCACGTAGACATCAAATCATATTTCAATCTGTTTCTGGAACTTGGATTCACGCCCAAAAGAGTGGATGAGTTTGACGACCACTACAGAAACAAGGGAACTCCAAAGAAAATCACTGCTTTGCTGGAAGCGTTCATTAAAGGGACCACGCCATGCCCAACTGTGAATACATTACTCCTGGCGATGCAAGAATGCGACATGGACACCGAATCTCTCATTGAAACCCTTAAGCCATCATAGGTACTGTATTTGTCTTTTTTTCGAAGTGAAATTATATGTTTAAACTATCATGTTAATTACTTCTACATTTTCCTGGAGCTCAGAGTTCCCACTCTTTTACTATAGAGGACAGTGTGCCTTATTAAATCAATAATAAACCATTCACTCCGGGCAATCAAACATTGTTGCTTCTAGCTATCATTAGTAAGTATTCAACATCAAAATATCTACAAGAAAATTGTAGTTATAGTATGTTCTTTGTTAATTTTTAAGATCAATTATGGCAATAATAAATTCAATTTGTTAACATGTGATCATACGACACTTTATGTTTAAGTTCTTGGCACCGTAATTCGAATATATTTGAGATGTAACAAAGCATTTGCGTGGTCAATTGATATTACCTGCGACGGTATAACAACGATAAACCGTCAGTAAAGTTCTGATTTGCATACCATATTACCATTGTAGGTTAAGGACTTCAACATGGTTCTAAAACCCAAGAGCTGGTGTCTGCTATCATATAATTGATGGACTGCTCTAATTGTCGCTGACTGGTACTATGCGAGCTTTTTCTCTATCTGCGCGGTTTTAAAAGACGTTGAACTAAAAACTGTTTCCGAAGGACTACTTCTAGAACAATTTTAAAACGTAGTATTATCATTTTATCAAAGTCAGTATATTATGTTTAGTATATTTCAAATTACTTGCGATTGTGGTATGTCGTAAATGTGACGTTATTGTCGATGGATGATATTTGTATTTGCTGTAAAGGTTATACAAGTGTGTGCTGCGTGACAAGGATGTTTACTAACCAGAGATGTGAATACAGGTAACATAAATAAGGTGTTAGTGCGTAATGACAGGGAGACGCAATGATGTTTAGTGTAATAGAAAAAAATACTGGAATATAAATACAGACTACATAACTAGGATGTTTTCTGTATTATAACAGGGATTACATACAGGCTACTAACTAGGATGTTTACTGTGTTATAACAGAGATATAATACAAACTACATAACTAGGATGTTTACAATGTTATAACAGATATGTAATTAAACGCTGTATAACTAGGATGTTGACTGTGTTATACCAGATATATTAATAAAGGCTACAAAACTAGGATGTTAAGTATAGTATAACAGTAATGTAAATACAGGCTACATAACGAAGATGTTTACTATGTTATACTAGATATGTAAATACAAACTACTTAACTAGGATGTTTACTGTGTTATAACAGTTATGTAAACAAAAGGCTACATAATTATGAAGTTTACAATGCTATAAGTGTGACCTGAATATCGGCCTAGGAATTTTACTGTAGTATTACTAGGATGTAAATGCATGCTACATAACCAGGGTGTTTACTGTGTGATAACACATATGTTAATGAAAACTACATAACTAGGATGTTTACTGTGTTATAACAGATGTGCCAATACAGGCTAAACGACTAGGATGTTTACCGTGTTGTACCATGGATGCAAATACAGGCTACATAACTAGGATGTTTACTTTGATATAACAGATATGTAAATACAGGCTTCATAACTAGGATGTTTACTTTGTTATAACAGAGATGTAAACATAAGCTATATTACTAAGATGTAACTATAGTTTTTGTTTAGTTATTATAGGGATTTAAATATAGGCTATATGAAAGACTTTGAGTGGATATAGTTCGTCATACATAAATGCTTACAGAAAGTTATTTACCAAATAACCATTTTTTGTAGAGCTGCTTGTTTTCCAGAAGAACACATATTTGTCAAAAAAAAATCGATATATATGATATCATGATTTTTATTTTTTTTATCGATTTTATTTTATTTGTACAGTTTTTATTTGTATTGAACGTAATCACTGATAATACAAAGTAGATATTTAATGGTATAAATCTGAGGTATGATGATGCAGAAAGCCAAATAAAAGTATACTAGCAATATGGCTATGTCTTATAATTAGGATTAATTAGCGTTACCAAAGATCCTAAAGAAATATAGAAAATTATAATACACTTTTACCTGTGTAATGTAAGGAACTAACCATTTGATTTCAAACCTATGAAACAAAATGGGAAGTATCATTGTTAGTACTTCTTATTAAGAACGGTTCTTGTTATTAACTGTACATTTTAAGTCTCAAGGTCAGATGAAGTGACGACAGCATACATAATTGCCTTTGGTACATCTTCGCAGAATACGTTGTGGTGTTTATATAACTAAACAATTTCAGAATTTCATTGAAAACTTATTTAAAATTGCGTTCTTCCTTGTTAAAAATGACGTCTTTATAACCTGGCATGACTTACTACCATTCTACTTAACGACTTTTTCTGACGCATCAATATTTGCGACGTGCTGACTTTAAAAATGGAATGCATTAAACAATGGCAATCCCATTGAATACCAGTTATTTGTCACGAGTATAGTAGAATATTCCTATTATTTCCACGAGCGCAAATATCATTCACTGTCCATCACCATACATAGTTCTGTAAAACGTATATTGCACCGCCTATGAGTATTCAGATAATTTTTATGCAACATAACTGATGACTTAATTTGATTTCTATTGAAAATCACCGGTACGATCTTGTCTAATCATGTCTAGTCTGTTTTTCAAATGTATCGACATCGCTGTAGCGGTCTTGATTAACGAGGATCAATGACGTTTTGTCGCGTAGTTACATAAAGCAATATGTAGTTGTGCCATCTGAAATAAATTTGCATTCCGGACCTTTTAAAGACATTTATGCTCATTAACGTAAAAAAACAACATTTTGGTCCGGCTATTCATTTCCTTATAATCCAATACATTTCTTTGACATTTTAGTGTACCAGATGTAGTTTAGCCCCATGAAATAGTTTTGAGTTTCAGACCTTTTTATTAGAGTCATGCCCCTTTACACTCTTTTTAATATATTTCTTTGAAACTTTTTGTGCAGTGACAATACCATGCAGAGGTGCCAATCCTTCTTTTTTTGGCCTAATCCATACGACTATGCGAACATACGAAGAACGCCTTCCACCATTGCCTATTCACTGTATGATTTTGTTTTTTTTCCCCCGAATCCGGAAATTCTGCCTGTTCCAACATCGTTTAATTATAATATCCTGATAACAATCTTCTTTGTGTTTTGAATAAGCCTAGAAACTGAAGCGTAATTGAGACTGTGATCACACTTCCACTTCCTTTAACGAAATAAAATGGCGGGAAAATGTGCTCTCGACGAGAGAGATAAAATAGATAAAAAGTTCAGGAAGCCCGCTCAAAAGAATGAAAAAGAAACTTAAACCAGAATACAAAGAAGACATTTTCATTGACATTATACAACGTACTTCTATGTTGGGGGTATACGTGTCACCCCTTCCACTAGGTGACAGCTCTTGTTGGACATGTAATAGTTAAGAACATTTAAAACAATTCAGATTATTATATTATTCTGTGTGAGTTGTAACAGGGCAGATAATTATATTATCATATATAAATTGTAAAAATTCATATATTATAAATTATTCTGTATAAGATGTAATTGTTCAGATTAGTATTTTAATCGTTATAAGATGTTTTATTTCAGATATATATATATATATATTATTTTGTATAAGTTGTAAATGTTCAGGTTTATATATTATTCTGTATAAGTTTTAACAGTTCATATTAATATATTAACTGTATAAGTTGAAACAGTGCAGATACATTGTATTTATAAGTGTAAGTTTTAACAGTTCAGATTAAAATATTACTCTATATCAGTTACAGCTGTTTTAATTAAATGCTACTCTTTATAAATTGTAACAGTTCAGATCAAGATACTATGTAACCTTTCAGATTAATGTACTATTCTGTATAATTTGTTCATATTAAAAAAGATAATTGTGTTAAGTTTTAACAATTCTGATCCAAACATAATCTGTATCAATTTTAACAGTTCAAATCAATATATAACTTTGTATAAATTGTATCATTTCTGATTAAAATATTACTCTAAATAAGATGTAACAGCTAAGATTATTATACTAATCGGTGTAAGTTGTAACTGTTCAGAATAAGTTTCAACAGTTCAGATTATTATATCAACTGTATCAGTTGTAACATTTCAGAAATAAATATTAGTACCTATAAGTTTTGACAGTTAAGATTAATATATTAGTCTGTATAAGTTGCAACAGTTAATATTGCTATATCATTCTGTATCAGTTTATCAGTTTAGATTAAAATCTTTTTTTCTGAATAAGTTGGAACAGTTAAATATGTTATTTTGTATAAGTTATTACAGTCTAGATAAGTGTATGGTTTTGAATAAGTTGTTACGGTTCAGATTCATATATTATTATGTATACATTGTAACAGTTCCCATTAACATATAATTCTGTATAAGTTGTAACAGTCCAGGTTTATTTATTATTCTGTTTACGTTGTATCAGTTGGGATAAAAACATACTATGTAGGTTTTAACAGTTCATATCAAAATACTACTTTGTATCAATTGCAGCACTTTCGGTTCAAAATATTACTCTAGCAGGTTTAAAATTTTCTGATTACAAGATTATTTTATGTAACTTGTAACAGCTCAGATTTACATATCTTTGTAGAAGTTTTAACAATTCCGATTCAGAATATGATCCTTTTTAACCTGTGACATATCACATTATTAGCGTTTTAATGTATCAGCGGATATAATTGGGATTTCTGAACTTCCACTCTACTAGTTAAAACACTGCAAATTAACGAAGACTGTATTAACTAAAAGAGTTATGTCCTTCGATTTTTTTTAAAATCAGTTGTAACAGACATTCATGTATCGTTCACATATTTTTGTTGTTGTGCAGAACGGATACAAAGCGTCTGATATTACAAACGAATAAGTATTCGTGTATTCATTTCTCCATTGTCATTATTATAATGTTTGTCTCTTGATATCATATTTTAAATTGATATAACGGGATGCTTTTATAATATGTGACATATGACATCCGCGTAATGTGCATTCGTGCAATGAACATCAATTCCGTCATGATCACGATTTTGAAAATATGGTGTAATGTGAGAAATATCTCCAAATCTGAAAATATTAAAACAGAAATTTTAAAATGTCTGCGATATCATATCTAGTATTTGTATCTGTTGATGTATTTTGCAGAGAAATGAATGTAATAATACATTAATGATTTCTTAATTGAGATCAAGAAATAGAACTTGATGCGACTTGTTTGTGTTCTATTTCTAGGAACATATGCATTAAAAGCCATTTATATAAATATATATAACCTTTATTTATTTTACAACAATTATGAAACAAGTTATTCAACTTATATTAATCACTCTTTCTGGCCCGGATGTTTGCGCGTGGGGGTCTTTGTGTGGGTGGAAACCGGAGTACCCGGAGAAAACCCACGTGTTCGGGCAGGAAACACCATACCTTTTCACGTCCGATTGGGGAATCAAACCCCGGCCGCCTTGAAAAAAAGCAAGTGCGCTATCCATTGCACCACCCGACCACCTAAACTACTACACACAAAAGCCATTTAACATGAACATGATGTGTGTATGTGTATTTGCGTAAATCTATTTAAAATAACGGTGATAATATAACAATGATTAAATCATGTGTTGAAAAAATGACTTAAAAAATGTGGCTAATTACTGATGTACTAATACAAATCATCCCTGAAAATAACATCTTTACTGCTTGAAATGAAAAGACAGGCAATACAAATGTGGTTTCAAATGGTCACAGTAATAGTTCGAGTAATCTTTGTTGGTCAATTTCATATATTATCTAGTGATTTCTTGGTGCTGTTTTTAGGGCATCATTCGGTACTTTATACACACAAATAGTCTGTTCTTCACATTTTTTTTATGTCGTTATCTACAGTTAAAAAACACTAACACATTAAAGACAAATGCAACTCATCTTCGATTTCATTCAGTTCACACATTGGTTGTTTATTCAGACGCCACCAGCTTTTCTATATAGTTCGGTACATCTACATAGATTTATGGATTATTTAATTATCTTTAACACAGAGGAGTGGATTGTTATACAATTGTATCTAAACAAATTAAGGAGATGACTTTCATGATTATATCGAATAAACTTGATTTTTAAATCTCAATTAAAAGCTTCTTAATTTGTTCTGTCAGCTTTAATGACAAGAAATCGCGGATATCAAATCATCAATATGCACAATATACAAGCAATGGTAACTTCTTATTAAGTTTGGATTACACCTGTTAGCTAAACCCTCAGGTAAATATTTATAACCAGTCCCCCTCACGTCTATAGCTAATAGAAAACACAATCTTTAACACCTGTTATCATGTAGGCTTGTCATCGGTGTACTTAAAAATATTATTTTAAGTTTTTAAACATATACAAGTTAAACTGGCACACTGTGACCACTGGCTGCAGTCAGTGTCCAGAGATTGTGCCATCACATATAATATCGGTTTGATGATGAAATGAAAATTAGGCATTACGAGGCACAAGAACAACCTAATTTAAATATAGCCTCATAGGCGCTATATCGCACACGAACTTATATCTAATAACACTTGTTAGTTCATACAACTTTTTATACATTGATTGTTAATGTTAAAGTATGAATTAAGAATGGAAAGTGTTGGGAAAATATTTAACTTAGGCCGATGCGATCTTCGCTATTTTTTTCCGTTTCATAATTATGGCACCAATGTTGATTATTTCTTAATTACCAAGAACAATGTTTAAGACATGGTCGTTAGTTTTCATACGTTGGGAAGCATTGCCATTCTAATAATACACTCACCAAAGACGATATACAAATGTGATATTGATTTCCTATAGACCTAATGAAATTCATAGACCTGACTTAAACCGAGAAAAGTTTACCAAGCTTTATTTAGTTCTTTATTACATATGAAAATTAAAAAATATTGATATAGAAATAAAGTCATTTTCATCACTTTATCCCTCTCATTGCTTACATATACCATACATCTCATTGAATCATACACATCAAGGGAAATAACTTCATGCACAATCTCGTCACTAAAGTTAACAAACGTACAGACCTACAGTGTTTTTCGTGGTCATCGTCTGATAATATGAGAATAATTCATCTCATACTTGCCCGTGAAAATCAGGAATTCACCCGCGAAAAGATAAACTTGTCTTTCCCGGAAAGACAGCCCACATGCATTGTGATGTCGTAAAAGACATGATTTCGCACGCGAAAAGATGTAATTTGTCTTTCCCTCGGGAAAAAGACAGCCAACACGCGCTATTACGTCATGACGCACTTTTGCATACTTGACCTCTGACCAAAGATTGTATTCTCAGTTGTTGTTTTGATTGCATCCTTAGTACACATGTAAAATGAATTAGTTTTGTACTTATAATAAAAGATATTTGCTGATATAATAAAGTTGTTGGATATCAAATAAAGTAGTATTAATTTTGTGCTTTAAATGGATTCCTGGTTTTCATGTTCTTAGTTCACCAGCCCTATGAAATTAACATTATTTCATTCATGCGTGGCTGTCATTGAATACAATCATATGGACACGTGTAGATTGTTGACACTAGCATGTTTATTTCGGGTAGGGGGGAACAGAAAACGTTAGTATGGCCTGTGGACAAGGATACCTCGACCATCGGTAAACAGTTCGGATTAGATCTTACGATTGACAGCAAAACCCTTACACTCGGGCTGAGAACTTGCGCTGGACAGCCAAACCCTTACACTCGGGCTGAGAATTCCCCGTCCACTTACTGCATTTGAAATTATATTAGTCCACACAACAATTAAGTTGATATGACGATGCTCAAGCCAAATCATATGTACATTGATATGACGATGCTCTTCACACAACAGCTTATATGAAGACTGTGTCCGCACAGCTATGTCACAATCAAGACGAGCCCAAACAACAACAAAGATTATACAAGGAAAGTATCCACACAGTTCAGGTAATATGGCAATGATTGTCATACGAAATGTAAGTTGTTGTGAGGAAGGAGTCCACACAGCAGTTTAGATGATATGGCAATGATTGTCATACGAAATGTAAGTTGTTGTGAGGAAGGATTCCACACAACAGTTTAGATGATATGGCAATGATTGTCATACAAAATGTTAGTTGTTGTGAGGAAGGAGTCCACACAACAGGTTAGATAATATGCCAATGATTGTTATACAAAATGTAAGTTGTTGTGAGGAAGGAGTCCACACAACAGTTTAAATGATATGGCAATGATTGTCATACAAAGTGTAAGTTGTTGTGAGGAAGGAGTCCACACAACAGTTTATAGGATATGGCAATGATTGTCATACAAAATGTAAGTTGTTGAGAGGAAGAGGTCCATTCAACAGATCAGGTGATATGACGACGTAATCAACACATCAGCTGAAATGATTTGGCAATAACGTATCCACAGCAACTTAGACACAATGGTGATGTCCATAAATCCATGTTAAGTTTCCCTCATCCTGAATGTTTCAACTTTTACACGGTAGCATATGTTACATGTACACATACAGCAACCGTTCACGTTATTTTGATAACGGGTTAACGCGATGTCCCAGATAAGGAAATACCGAA